TATGTGAAAATCTGTTGCTATACATAGCAATTTCACCATTTGTTGACTTCACATCCTGGAGTAATTTAGTTTTTATGGCGTGTCCGATTACTGGTACTCCAGAACTTTCGTTACCCATTATCATAGGTTCATATTTAGTTGGTAATCCAGCTAAAAGGATTGTTCCGACCCATTCATCACTTACAGTGAGGCCAACACTAAAAAGTTTGTGTGCTGTGCTAATAATCTTGTTGACATAATTTTCAACAGATTCACTTTCTTCCAAACGTGTTGTTATTAGGGTTCGTAGCAGCCCGACTCTTCGGGTGAGCCCTTTGTCCTCAAAAGCATTTGTTAAAGCTTGCCACACCTTTTGCATCAGTGGCACTTTGAACATGAACATGGTTAATCGGTTATATCAATAGAATAATTTTACTTTTAGTTTTGGTAATTTTCTTTGAGTCTGTCTCGGTTCCTATAACAAAGTCCCACAGCTCTTCATGCTCCAGATAAATTTTCACAGCGAATTTCCAACTATCGAAATTTTCACGCCCTTGCAACTTTTCAATGAGCGGTATCGCGGTCGACATTCTGACTGGATGAAAAGCGAATTACTTCGAAAAAACTTATTCAATATTTAATAAATCCCTGGGCCCCATAACCTGTCGGGAGGGAATTTTTGTGGAGTAGTTGCGTGAAAGATCAGTTAATGCAAGAAGATAATTTAGAGAACTTTTGATAAACTTGAAAAGAAAAATATCCCAAATGGGAGAATCGCGACGAAGGTTTTTAGTTAGGTTTTTAGTCAACGATGGAGACACTGTCGGGAGATAAGAGAAATTTACAGGTATCTGTGGTGTGGACTGACCAATGAACTATAGCCAAAAACTGGAATGCGCGCACATTGCCATATCTGCCCAAAAAATGAAGCCATGAAAGACAGATGCCACAAGGGGGAATGTTGTTTTTTTCTGTTGCTCGCTGACATATGACGTTTTCGAAAGTTTTGTCATATTTTCCTTCACAGGTTTCATCAATTGGAATACGTGTTGGAAGCAATTCTCGCCATTTAACATAATGAGTGCGACAAAAACAGGTATCCCCTCCGCAGCAGCTGCACTAGGCTTCACGTTCTTCCTTATGTGTTAGCATTCCAGTTTTTGGTTATAGTTCATTGGGACTGACTGATTTGTTTTGATTGGTTTTGTCATTTTAAAAGTCAAATTGAATTTTCCCCACATCTCGAGACGAGACCGTAACTAAGTCTCGGTCTCGAGTACCAAAGTCTCGTTTCGTCTCGAATGGTCTCGAGTTATACAGGGTGTCCGGAAAATAGCGTGAAAACTCTTCACTACGTGATGGAGGACAATTTATATGGAATTCTATGAAATGACATAAAAATTTTAAAAATTACGTGGAGTTTCGAATAAATCACGTAAAATTTCAAAAGAAAATACGCGGAATTCCGTCAAGAATACCTACATGGAATTCCGTTGAAATTATATTTAATTCCAAGAAATGAAGGGTTACTTCAGTAAAATAGTATGGAATTCTATGGAATGACGTAAAATTTCAAAAGAAATTACGCGGAGTTCCTTTAAGAATACATGGAATTCCATTAAAATTACATTTAATTCCAAGAAATGAGATGTTACTTTAGTGAATTTATATGGAATTCCACGAAATGACGTAAAATTTTCAAAAATGACGTGAAAATCATGTAAAGTGAGCGGAATTTTGTCGACATGAAATTCCGTTAAAATTACATTTATTTCCAAGAAATGATGTGTTACTTTAGTGAATTTATATGGAATTCTATGGAATGATGTAAAATTTTTAAAAATGATGCGAAATTCCGAAGAAATCACGTAAAATTCCAAAAGAAAATGAGTGGAATTCCGTCAATAATACATGGAGTTTCGTGAAATAACATCTTATTCCAAGAAATGACGTATTACTTTAGTGAATTTATATGGAATTCTATAGAATGACGTGAAATTTTTAAAAATGACGTGGAATTACGAAGAAATTGCGTGAAATTTCAAAAGAAAATACGTGAAATTTTGTTAAAAATACATGGAGTTAAAATTATATTTAATTCCAAGGAATGACATGTAATTTTAGTACATTTTTGGGGAATTCTATGGAATGACATAAAATTTCTAAAAATGACGTGAAATTTCGAAAAAACTACGTAAAATTCCAAAAAAAAAATACGCGGAATTTCAGTAAAATTACGGAAAATTCCGGTGAAATTACATTAATTCCTAAAATACGACGTGTAATTCCATACTTTATCTTCAGATCTAACTTCCAGTTTAGCCGAAAGTGCTTATGCTTTAAACATTTTTTTAAATTGATCTCACTACTAGCTAAACCGAGTGTGTGAATAGTCCAATAATAAAGCTATGAAAGAATTTTTTTTATTGTAATTTGTAATCTCGAAACTCGAGACTACGCGAGACTCTCACCGAGACTTCACGAGACGAGACCAACGGCCAGTCTCGTCTCGAAAAGTCGAGACGAGACGAGACCAGTTTCGAGTCTCGCGGCATCACTAACAAAGAAAACTGTTCCCCCTATATAAATCGCATTCCCTACATGTTACGTATTACGACGCGTACTATCTCTAGTTACTCTGAGACGCAATTATCTTTACGGACTACCCAAAAATTAGTATTCAAAACTTACTTTTTTTTCACCCTGTATAAAATCTTCTTAAAACACCCTGCTTCTAATGGGCAAGCTGAACGATTTGTAAAAGAAACAAAAAAAAAATTGACTTTATTAACTGAAGGTAATTGGGAAATGCCACTTGTTATATTTTTATTTGCACAACACTCAACACCATCATCAACTACAGGAAAATCCCCTGCCGAATATTCAATGAAATCGGTAAAAAAAATTTAAAGAACCAGGAAAATTTGGATAAGAATTTACAAGAATTTAAAGAAAATGAAAGAGTACCTATGTTTTAAAAATTTCTACGGAAGAGATAAATGGTTAACGGGAGTTATATTGCGAAAAATTGGTCCTGTTTCTTACGAGATCACTGGTGAAAAAAATAAATGTTACAGAAGACATGTTGACTACATAAGAAAAAACTTTTGCCATGAAAATAAAAACCAGTTTATTGATAAAGAATACATTCCACTACCACGATTCGCATCTGTCGACAATCATTCTTCAGTGGTTCCTTATTTTGTCAATCATGATGTTCAAGGAAATTATTCGTCAGCACAAGACAACGATTCTGATATTTTGGATCCAAGAAGTAATAATGAAAATGACGCTGAAATTGATTCTCCAAATAAATCCTCAAATATTTCAAGGGATGGTATTGGTGATGATAATCATAAAAATGATTCTATGATGTCCTTGAATGCAGAACGAGATGAAGATTTAACTTAAGATTCTATAGACAAACGAAACCCAGAAGTTATAGAACAGCAATAACTCGACTTCAACGAATAAGGAAGTTACCAAAAAAGTTTGAAAATTATATTTTATAGACTCCTCAGATTTAACTTAAAAAGGGAAGAAATATTATACATTATATTATCCGTTACATAGTTCCAGTGCTGTTCAATATTTATTGTATTGTCATTTGTCAAGTAAAAAAAGTAATTTCATGTTATACCCCTATATAATTACCTTTATATTGTTAACATCTTATATTATTAAGTCTATATTTAATCATTCTTGTATTTTTCCATATCCTGTTTCGAAATCTATTAATTATTGTAATTTGCGTCATTCAACTATTGATAACGATAATAATCTAGGTCAAACATCTGCTATCTTTACGAAATCTTATCAGGTCCAGGAGGCTAGCGCGTGATCAGTTTTAACGCATTTTCCTTTGTTCCCAATGACGCAGGTTGACAATATAAATTGCTTCTTTTGCATTCAGAAGCGTTCACTCATTAGACTAACAACCCAGCTTACAGTTCTCTCCATTTACGTATACTTTGTTATTTTTGTCAATAAGTTTAATTAATTTAAATAAATAAATCCAAAGTTAGTTCTCCAAGCGTTTTTACTTGACCAAAATACATTGTATTCCGAGGATCCCAACATTCAATTCTACTGAATTAATTGCTAGAAAGTGAAATAAGGCAATATTTACCACTCTCAAAAGTCATTTTGATGTTAATATAAAAATTCTCATTGCACCACCACTGTTCGTCTGTCCCTAGAGGCCCTAATGGCAAACTTATATAGTCCACAAGATAAGATAAGCAATCTCTATCTTATCGAGGACCTTCCAGTGAAGGGGCCCCCCTACTGAAACCTTGTTCAATAAGCTCTTCTTCTGACTACAGTGGGCTCCAAGCTTTGCTAAACGAAAAACGCGCTTTCAGTTTGAATTTGTCCGTTGGCAAGCGACTGTGTGTGTGTGTGTCCTGTCCTTTGCCGTCTGTTTTAAACGAGTTGGCGCGAGAACAAGATATTACTGTGGTATGGAATAGACGGAGAAGGAATCGAGGACTGTGAGTAGTTTTTGTATTATCTGGTTTGTTTGATCTGTTGCGTTATGTTGATAGTCTTTGAATTAACTATTTTTATGAACTAAGCCAAAATTCCTGTGTAATACTATACATATGGGCCATTTAAGTAAAACCTTCTTTTGTTGTATTGTCTTCTATTTGAAACTTAAAAATAAAAAGGAATCAGATAAACATCCACAGCTTTTCAATATTGGTTATCGCAGCTTCTAATCTGTCTGCCAGCGCTGGGGCTTTTTAGAGGGGCTCGATAAAGCAAACCAAGATTCTTATTTTAGATAATTAATTTGAAATAGTTGAAAAAAAAAAAACTCCCAGCGATAATTGTGACATAGTCTTGTCGCTGTTATACTGAGAATTGTTAGGTGAAGATACAATCGCCAGGATTTACTGCCCAACGTACAAATGGCGCGAAACGAGATAAGCGAGACAGGGAACACGGCTCGGTCGTAATGAAGCAGTTCACTTTCACCCCCACACCAATTGAATGATTTTTTTCTCTTTTTTTTACAGACACAGAAGCCAACATGGTAACTGTCCTGGAAACGCCGAAAAGCGAAACTCCCGATCGTCCAGGTTCGGTTGAAGATTTGAAACCGGACGACAAGCAACCAAAAATTCGGCTGAAAGCCGCTCTGGCAACCGATCCGGCTTTAAATATGATGGCAACGATTAAAACTGAAATGATGGAGCCCAGTCCTGAGTACCTGGCTTCGTTGTCACCTGCTATCCAAACAGCGCTAGCCTCTAGAGGGTTACTGTTTCCTGCTGGATTGAATTTGAGCGAAGCCGTAGCTGCTCTGGCTGCAGTACAAAGAGTATCCACAGAAGCAAGGTATGTTCTTAAATAATTTCACTAACTTTCTACTGATTTGTATCTAATACCCTTTTTGAACTAGAATCTTTGTTTGTATAGAATTGCAGACTTTGAGTTTTTATGAGGCCGTGTTCATACTTCTATGCGGCTTTTCCCAAAACGGTTTTTAAATGTCATACCAAGCAGTGCTGGGATTCCCTTTAAATGGTTTGAGATGTTTACGCAGTATTTAAACCGTTTTAAATCAAAACTGTTTATTGGGTGTTTATACAAGCGTTTTAGTGAAATGTTTAAAGTTTAAACGGTTTAACGGGAAGCATAAACGTGGTTAATTTTCTACACAAAACTGCTCTATGAGTCTTGTCTCTAAGGTTTCGTTTATTTGATTTGATTAGCTGTCAATTTGCTGATTGCCATGATAAGAACTTGAAGTTTTTTTTATTTGTGTTTCCAAATTCAGGAAATCTGGATGAATTCTTCACAGTTGTGCCAATACTTGAAGCTTCGATCCACATCCTAGCTCAGTGCAAGGAATCTTGCAACATCCTTTATTATGGAAGTTGACTAAGATTCCAGAATCCATCACAATCTCTTTGTGTCGTTTTGATTTTTGTTAGGGCTGTGGCTAAAATTACCATCTAATATATCTAACTCTAACGTTCCTACTGATCTTGGTGGAGATTTCCACGTTGGATCATTTCCTAATTGCGTTCTTTACTGATTTTTATTTTGAGAATGAGGGTTTTGATAAAGCTTTCAAAGTCAGTGCGCATTGAAATGGTGAGACTCATTCTATGATTAACGCAATTGAGCCAGAGCTTCTTTAGTCTACTTTTAATTTGGTAGACTAGTCACCTAGTCTAGTTTAAACAGCTTTGGTCAGATATGATCATTTGGGACACTGTATAATTGTAAAATTTGGAACTGACATCTTTGAAAAAAGGACGTCATGAAAATTAAAAAATTGAAAAATTCAGCCCAAATTGCTTGACGCGATTTTATTTCTGAAACTATAATTCCAAAGGAGCTGAAATTTTCAGCTATTGTAATCCTCTACTGAGATAAGAATCGCTAAAAATTTCAGCTTTCTATCTCTAATAGAAAAAAGGTTAAGATTTTTTAATTATTTTTTTTTTTAAATCTAAATTATAAGGTATGTAATTATGTACAGGTCTTTGGTACAGGGTCTTTCCCCATATATTAACCCCCCCACTACAGGGGTTATGTGAAGAGATATCAAAAAATTGTAAATACAAAAGTTTTGGGGTTTTACCTGAAATATTTGAATCCAATGTCAAAATCTTTTTTGTTTTTTTCAGAAATCTCAAAATTTGACAAATGATGGAAAGTTGGAAAGAGTCGATTTTTCTGATTTGATATTTACATCGTTTAACTACTTTTAATCAAGCCGTTTTGGAAATATCGGGGTCTAAACTTCAAGAAAATAATACATTGAAACACATCAGCTCTATTCCAACCGACATGAGAACCGTTCTAGAACGGTAATTTCCAGTTGCTCATTTATTTTTCAGTAAGTTGAACGTTTATCCTAATTGACAAATGAATTGATCGACTGGAAATTACGGTTCTAGAACGGTTCTCATGTCGGTTGAACAAAGCTGATGTGTTTCAATGTATTATTTTCTTGAAGTTTAGAGCCCAATATTTCCAAAACGGTTCAATTAAAAGTAGTTAAACCACATATATTTGAAATCAGAAAAATCGACTCTTTTCAACTATAAAGTCATATATAGGGTGTTCCATAAGAAAAAACTGACCATCTGTCAAAATTTGACATTTCTAAAAAAAACAAAAAAAAATTTGACATCGGATTCAAAAATTTCAGGTAAAACCCCAAAACGTTTGTAATTGAAATTTTTTCATATCTCTTCACGTAACCCCTGTAAGAGGGGGGTCAATATATGCGGGGAAAGACCCTGTACCTTAGTACATACTAAAATGATAAAATTTCAAATTTTTTTATGTTGAGATTTCGTATTTAAATGATCCTTTGGGACTCTCAAAACTCCATACACTAAATTATTCTGAGATATGGAGCTGAAATCTATGAAAAAGACACTCAGAAAAATTGAAAAATTGATAAATTCGCCCCAAATTGCTTACCACGATTTTATTTCTGAAACTATAATTCCAAATGAGCTGAAATTTTCAGCGATTTTAGTCCTCCACTGGCTGAAAATTTTAGCTTCCTATTTCTAATAGAAAAAAAGTTACGTATGATTTTTTAAAGTTTGCAAAAATCCAAATCTTAATACATGCCTACCTGCTAAAATGATGAAATTTCAAACAAGCTCAAATTTGAACTAGAGAACCATGAAAATCCAATTTCTGGCTCTACTACAGCCAAAAACTAACTAGAGAAGCTTGAAACTTTGATTTTTGATCTTTCTTGCAACTTTTCGCACTTCATAATACTAAAATTCAATTGAAGAAGCTTGAACATTTTATAACTGGCTTTTCTAATGCTAAAATTGAAAATGGAGATATGTAAAAATCCTATTCCCGGCTCTACTAGAGCCAAAATTGAATTGGAGAAGTATAAAACTCTTATTTATGGCCATTCTAGAGTTAAAGTCCAGCCAAAACGGCTTGAAATGGTAATTTTTGTAATTTATCAGGAGAAACTAAAATCTTATGAAAAATTTGAACTAAAAATTAATGAAAATCTCTTTCCTGGCTTTTCGAGAGTCAGAACTCGACTAGAATAGGATAGAACTCTTATTTCTGATTATTCTAGAATTAAAGTTCAGCCGAAGCGGCTTGGAATGGTAATTTTTCATCCTAGTAAAGCTAAATGTATCATAAGAAACTTTAAAATCTTCATACATCTCAAATTTGAACTAAAAATTATTGTAAATCTCATTTCCGGCTTTACTGGAATCAGAATTCAATTAGAAAAGTATAAAACACCTATTTCCGACTATTCTAATTCAAAAACATCATATTTGAGCTTCTCAGAGCTGAAATTCAACTGGAAAATTGAAGAAATTTTATTTTCTAGCTGAACTTTTAATTGAAAAGACATCAAATTTTTATTCTCGAGGTTCCTATACCAAAAATTGCACCAAAAAACTTCGATTATACACTATATATATACAATAATATAAATATACAGGGTGTATATTTTAAGTGATACCACTATTGCTATATCCAAAACGGTAAGAGCTACAAGGTCAGTTGAATTATAAAAAAGTTGTCTTTTTTGATGCCGATTTAAAATTCGTTTACAGTGTTGCCAAATTCCTTTTAGTTTCTAAAATACAGGTTCATAACTAGGGCCGAATTGAGGTAAAATTTTGGTAAAAATCATTGATGATCACTTTTTAGATCAGAAACGTCGACCAATCACACTTGAGAGGTATATCGTTAAAAAGGAAATTAAAGGTGATTCCTAAAAATGACATAAAAAAGCCAGGTCCGTATTTAAAAAAATGAAGTTGTTGATGGTAGCTCAATCACGAAACGTCGGATTCAAAATTTGAAGATGCCATGTTGTAGAGCGAAAAAAATTATAAAACTTTCAAATTTAAATTGTTTCCCGAAAATTCCTACTTTTCGAAATAATTGATGAATTATTTTTAGGCGTTTCTTAGAAATCACCCTGTATTTCATAAACTAAAAGAAATTTGGCAACACTGTAAACGAGTCTTGAATGAGCATCAAAAAAGGCAAGTTTTTTCTAAATTAACCGGCCTTGTAGCTTTTACCGTTTCAGATATAGCAATAATAGTGGTATCACTTAAAATATATACCTATATGCCAAATGTGGTAGTCCTGTATAAATAAAGACAATTGACATGTGTAGATGTTTTGACATTGATTATTAATTATTGAAAAATTGTTAAAAGGTTGTCAATAAAGTTCTAAAGTGCGTTTTTTTTTTAAAGATAATTCCCCAAGTCAAAAATTTAGTAACTTTGTTGGCAACACAGGCCTTTTCTGCATAAAAAATTTGAAAGCATTGACAATTTTACATTGTATTGCCAACATAATGTCATTTTGACTTTTATCTTTAAAAAAAAAAGCACTTTATATAAAATTCAAATATAACACCAAAGTCCATTTTACCACCCACTATGCAATAAATTGCTATACTTTCCACTTTCAAGTAAATGCGTTAAAGTGCACTTTACCGCATCACGCTCGTAAGTAAAATTGTAAGGTATGAATACCTCTCACAAGCGAGTAAACTGACCCTGTTGCCAGATGGTCATGAAAATATGAAATTGTACTAAATCACTTCCAATAGTATGCCTTAATATAAAATAAAAATATCTGTAGTCGGCATCATGCTATTTGAATTTTTTTTCTGAGAGAAAACCTGAGTTCAAATTAATAATAATTACTTATGACAGGGAACTATGTACAGGGTGAGTCGCCATATTTTGTCATGCAGCTGTAATTACAGGTGATAGGTAAAAGGTTTAAATACAAAAGTTGTAGCATTTCATCTGAACCGCCAGAATTTTCAAATGGAGCAACAAAAGGTGAAAAAATATGTCGACGTTCACTTTTTTTAAATGGAATACCCTTTATTTTCTTTCAAATTCTTAATGTTCTCGTTTTTCTGATGCAGAATATAATAATATGTTAATGTTTCTTTCGATATTTTTGGAAATATCTGGAGTTTCGTTATTCAAAGACAGTAGTTTTTTGAATATATTTTACCTTGGTTTACCTGCCACCTGTTACAAAACATTCTGATTCCTGAATAGGTCTTTGCATAACTAAACTCTAGATATTTCCAAAACTATTGGAAGAAACATTAACATATTGGTTATATATATTCTGAATGAGAAAAACCAGAACTTTCAGAATTTGAAAGAAAATAAAGTACATTCCATTCAAAAAAAGTGAACATCGACATATTTTTTTACTTTGCGTTGCTCATTTGTTCAATCTAATTAAAAATTCTGGCGGTTCAGATAAAATTCTACAACTTTTGTATTTATACCTTTCACCTATCACCTGTAATTACGGCTGCAGGTGGGTGTCAAAATATAGTGATTCACCCTGTGCTAAAATGATGAAATTTCATTTTTTTTTTTCATGTTGAGATTATGTCTTATCGATTATTCGGAACTTTCCAAACTCAATACACTAAATTATTCTGAGATTAGGAGCAGAATTCTATGAAAAAAGGCACTCAGAAAAATTGAAAAATTGATAAATCACCCCAAATTGCTTGCTTAACACGATTTTATTTCTGGAACTAGAAGTCCAAATGACTTGTCATTTTCAGGGATGTCTATAACCTTATGTCTAATCTAATTCAAGATACAGTGGAATATGTATAATAACTCCAAAGAGTTTTGTAGAATTTTTTAGAACTAGAACTCTCCTAATTGATATTAATATCTTTTCTAGAGCTGCACCAGTTGAATCTGCCTCAACTTCAGAATCGACAAGGACTACATCAGTGCCAATTTACCAGTGCGTCCCTTGCAGCATCAGATTTTCCTCGTTGAGCACTTTGGAAGCTCACCAAACCTATTACTGCTCGCATAGGTAAAAGTCATTAATAATAACTCAAAAAGATATTATGTATCTGATAGTTTTCAATAATGTGCCTAACCGGGTCAATAAACTTCCAATTCCTCCTAAAAATATTAAATTTCTTAGTATCCTCATTGTAATCGATCACGCATCGAAACCGTGTATCTTGCGAGTAAGTAAATATCGATCAGTTAAGATGTTAGAAATTCAAGCGATAAGCTATCTGCCCGATAAGAAATTTATCAAATCGATCCCACATTACTGATAACAATCGTACATAATTATATATCAACTTGTGCTGAACGGTTTGATTTTTTTGTTCCCAGACCGAATAAACCTTCCGAAGACGACGCGAAAGCCTCCGGAGGCGGCTCAGAACCGGACGTCGACGGCGAAGCCAAGCAAGGACCCCGGGTCGGCAAACAGTACACGTGCATGCACTGTTCGTACAGCGCCGACAAAAAAGTGAGCTTGAATCGTCACATGCGCATGCACACGGTGTCACCGGGGCCGGTAACGGCTCCTGTAGCCGGCAACAGCACGGTAACATCCAACGGTGATTCTAATCCCGATGCGCAGGATCGGTACTGTGCAGAATGCGACATTAGGTTCAGTTCGCAGAAGACTTTTAGAGCTCACAAGATGCATTACTGTAATTCGAGGTAAGAATTTTTGATTGTGATATGGTTTGGAATTCTTAAGGCTGGTTTGCATCTAAGTAGCATGTAATTATCACAGGGTTGTTCCAAGTGGCGGCGATATGCATAAGCGAGTATAAGCCTTGAAGGGGGTTCGAAAGGGCCCCATTTAAGTACAATATTTTGTTTTATAAAAATGCGTTGAAATAAAATTGCCAAATATAGTGACCGATATCGATCAATATACCTAACTGGTACATTCCTTCCAGTTGTCACCGCTGAAAGGTCATTTAAGACAAATTCCATAAGTTAGCAAAGAATGTATGATCTTGCTATTTTGTCTATCAGCATTCAATATGAATATTCGGTATTTAGTCGCTTCAAAAAAATTATTCAATGGATAAAGAGCCATAGATAATCATAATTTGAACTATAACCGGCTCTCTATTTCTCTGGAAAATTTTCCTGGAGCCAATCAAGAGCCGGTAATAGTCAAAATTTGAACTTTTATCAATTCTGGATTTGCGAAAAAATGTTTCCAAGGGTATTCAAAGCTCAAAAGCAAATAATAGTCAACATTTCGAATGTTCATTAGCAGCTCCTAAGTCGATATCGATCAAAATTTCTTCTCCCGCAGCTTCTAATTGGCTCAAGATAATCACAGATAATCAAAATTTGAACTATTACTGGCTCTTGATTCTCTGGAAAACTTCCCTGGAGCCAATCAAGAGCCGGTAATAGTCAAAATTTGAAGTTTTATCATCTGACGAGTAGAGGGATTAATGGTCATTATTCCTTAAAGCCGGCACTAAAATAAAAATTTGTAACTTTCAGGCATGTGGTTAAATCAACAGCTCCGGCTTCAAGTTGCACCTCAGGCTCGTCCCCAACAAGTCCCGTGGATACTTCTTCGTGTCGAACTCCACCCTCGCCATCATCCCAACAAATACCCACTCAACAACCGTTCCTGGCCCTTCCCACTAACCCAATTATAATCGTCCCGTATTCCTTGTTTCGTTCGGCGAGCGTCCTACCTGCCTTGTCGGCTTCCGCAGGAATTCCCAGCCCCGACACTCCATGCTTCCTGTTACCCAATGGTACTCTCCAGCCGATGACCAGCGCTTTGTCAGCTGCAGTTAGTGCAGCTGCTCAGGGTCAAGCTTCGCACGCGGAGCAAGTGCTCAAAGCTGTCAACAAAGCAAACAGTAAGGAGGTTATCGTTAGGGAAACTTCATCAGCTCCTCTGGATTTGACTGTTAGAAGATTGTCAAAAGAGGACAGTATGGATGATCACGAAAAGGAAAATCACAAGCATCGTTCGCCGTCGCCTGAGAGAATCGAGTGCGAACCTTCCATCCAGAATTCGCCTTGCTCGACGCCGGGCTACGAAAAAAGTTCGCCCGGTTTGAGCGTTAGTCCGAAAAGGAAGCTGGACGATGTGTCGAGAAGTAACAGTCCAAGGTCCTCGAAAACTCCCAAACTCAGTCAAGATAGAGCTAGGACTAGTCCAGAGTCGGCGGCAGGAGGGCCTCAGTTTGATATTCCTCCAGCGCTGCATCCTCTATTGCTCAGATCAGGAAATATATTTACTCCGGAGGTAAGTTGTATGAACTATTTTTTCTTTAAAAGCTTTTGGCAATATTTTTATTGCTTCTTTAGTTAAAACTAAAATATACAGGGTGGTAGCGTTTTTGACTTAAAAAGGGTTTTAAAGCCAAAAATCAGTGCTACCATAATGTCATTGTACCATTCTCTTTCCTCCATGCTCCATGACACCATAACTTTTATTTTGTTTCCAAAAACGCGCCGTTTTCGAGATATTAGACTGTCTCAAGTCGAATGGACCACCCTGTATATGTATTACATATTACAATTATGTATTACATTTGAAGTTCAGTTAAGATTGATTGGTTTTACGATACATTTATATAATTTGTGTTCTGGTTAGAAAAAAGATGAAAACGTGAAAAGTTACATGATGACATTAGAAACAAAAATCAGATTTTGATTATTCTCGTGTGATTGTGTTAGTTTAATTTTAGTGAGTAGTTTCGAGGAGATCAAACTTATCCTAGCAAAAAACAGGAATAATCAAAATCTGAATTTTGTACATACATACAGGGTTATGTGAAGAGATATCAAAAAAATTTAAATTCAAAAGTTTTGGGGTTTTACCTGAAATTTTTGAATCCAATGTCAAAAACATTTTTGTTTTTTATAAATGTCAAATTTTGACAGATGATCAGTTTTTTTTTTATAGAACACTCTATATATGACTTTATAAGGTGGGCTCGGCTTGCTCACTTCGTGCACTCCGAGTGACTCCATTCGCACTCCAGCCGTTCGGGTTAAGGTTCGGGTATTGCTTTTTACCGTATTAGGGGTGACTCCATTAGCTCTGTTCACTCCACTCCAACTCCACGCTGAATAGCAGAACCCAGCTATAGTTGAAAAGAGTCGATTTTTCTAATTTCAAATATATGTACAGGGTTGTCGTTATGTATGGAAACGGTCCGATATTCCAGGGCCGGCTTGAAAAAAAATTACAATATTTCCTACCTGAGGGTTTTTGGGAATGCCCGATTCAATGGTGGTATTTGCAATGTTGCCAAGTTTACCGTTTCTAAGATGTCGCATGTAACTTGATTTTTTCAAATGCACCTCTTTATTTTTATTGTAATTAATTCAGCGTCCCAACATTACTGAAACCCCTAAATGCCAAAACTCCATTTTACTTGGTTTTTGAAATATGGCAACACAGATTTTTTGTTGTCTCATATTTCAGAAAAGACTTTAGCAAAATGTACAATATTTCCTACCTGGGGGTTTTTAGGAATGCCCGATTCAATGGTGGTATTTGCAATGTTGCCAAGTTTACCGTTTCTAAGATGGCGTATGTAACTGCCCGTAGGGGCATCCATTTTAAAAAAAAATCAAGTTACATACGGCATTTTATAAATGATAAACTTGGCAACATTGCAAATACCGCCATTGAATCGGGCATTCCTAAAAACCCCCAGGTAGGAAATATTGTACATTTTGCTAAAGTCTTTTCTGAAATATGAGACAACAAAAAATCTGTGTTGCCATATTTCAAAAACCAAGTAAAATGGAGTTTTGGCATCAAGGGGTTTTAGTAATGTTGGGACGCTGAATTAATTACAATAAAAATAAAAAGGGGCATCCATTTAAAAAAATCAAGTTACATACGAGATCTTAGAAACTGTAAACTTGGCAACATTGCAAATACCATCATTAAATCGGGCAATCCCAAAAACCCCCAGGTAGAGAATATTGTACATTTTGCTAAAGTCTTTTCTGAAATACGAGCTGAATTAATTACAATAAAAATAAAGAGGGGCATCGATTTAAAAAAATTAAGTTACATACGGAATTTGAGAAACGGTAAACTTGGCAACATTGCAAATACCACCATTGAATCGGGCATTCTCAAAAACCCCCAGTTAGGAAATATTGTAAATTTTTTTTCTAGCCGGTTCTGAAATATCAGACCGTTTCCATACATAACGACAACCCTGTATATGGTTTAACTACTTTTAATTGAGCCGTGCAAATATTGAGGTCTAAACTTCAAGAAAATAATACATTGAAACACATTCAGCTCTGTTCCAACCGACATGAGAACTGTTCTAGAACGGTAATTTCCAGTCGCTCAATTCATTCGTCAATTAGGATAAACGTTCAACTTATTAGCTTTGTTCCAACACACCAAAAAACCGTACAATATACCGTCAGGATTCTGCGCCAAGCCAAAAATGTTTGCGCAGAACCGCAAATTCCTATACAGAGTGGTTTCAAAACCGTTCATGAGACGGTTTTTGACGTGTTAGAACAAACCTATTGAAAAACAGGTGGGCAACTGGAAATAACCGATTGATATCAGATTAAAAAAATTTACGTAAAACCCCAAAAATTTTGTATTTACAATTTTTTGATATCTCTTCAAATAACCCCTGTAATGGGGGCGGGTCTATATATGGGGAAAGACCCTGTACATTGCATCCTTATCCGGGACACCCTGTATAAGATTCAGATTTTGATTATTTCTGTCTCTTGATTGGATAAGTTTTATGTCCCCGAAACTACTCAATCAAATTAAACCAAACTAAGCCAATGCCAGGAATAATCAAAATATGAATTTTCAGTTCAAATTTTGATTATTTCCAGCTCTTGATTGGATAAGTTTCATTTTCCCGAAACTACTTACTCAAATCGAACCAAACTTATCCAATCAAAAGCCTGGAATAAGAAAAAATTGAACTTTGAGGTTCAAAATGGGGTTTTGAAAAAATTTCCAGCAGATATTGATGCACGGGGAAAGAAGATAAATATACCTTAGACGTCAAAAATTCAACTTTAGCTAAAATAAATACTATTGCAAAATATAATCATTTTGTGATTCTTATCGGGGTGATACAATATAAAAACAATAATTAATCTAGATGGCACACTCTACACATTATTATGTCAAGTATTGAGATAAAATTTATCTATTTTATTAAGAAGTTTGCACCTATTTTTATCGTTCGTTGGTGCTAAATATGTTAAGAGGGCCATGATTTTCTGATAGACTTAGTTTTGTTTATTGCAACAAGACAGCCCTATTGAATGTCTCAGAAAGAGGATTTAGGTACACTGACTTCTTCAAGGCATTTGATACGGTTTAATCATGACTTACTTATGCTTATTACTTGTCTAAAGTCCCAATAAAGCAACTCATCGATTATATTAATTTCAGCTTCAAATGCGCCTATCAGATCTGCCCCCTTTACCTCCAGTAATGCCTCAAGTAATCGTGAAACAGGGCGTATCAAAATGCAAAGAGTGCAACATTGTCTTTTGCAAACACGAAAACTATCTGGTCCACAAAAAGCATTATTGCTTCGCCAGGCCATCAGAGGACGACGCTTCGAAAACTAGCGGAAGCCCACCTGTTAGCCCAAGGTACCTATTCTACTCATCGAAATTTGTTTCATTTACTAAATAATTATTTTCTAGAAGTGGAGGTACTACTAGTCCAGCCGCCCAATACCAACAGCTAATTTGTTTAGCCTGCGGCATCAAATTCACCTCGCCGGATAATCTCAACGCGCACCAGCAATACTACTGTCTGAAACGTAACGAAACCGAGCCGAAACGTTGCGCCAAATGTCGAGCCGTTTTCGAACCTGGACACCAGTGCGTGTCCCATTCCGCTGTCGCCGGCTGGAAATGTCCCTGTTGTGATGTTATAAGTGCGACGGCCAGCGCCGCTCAGCGTCACATGGAAACGCACACCGGAGTCAAAGCTTATCGGTGTACTATTTGTAAATATAAGGGGAATACGCTGAGAGGGATGAAGACGCATATTCGGATGCATTTTGATAAGCGTTCGCCTGATTTACAGGTAAGAATTGGTTTGTTGGGAAATAAATAAATGATTCAAATGACATTATTTGTAGGAAGAAAAATACATCTCCTACATCTTAGAAGACGATTCTGCAGCCGGTATGGAAGTTGCCATAGCTCCTAGTTTATCAAACGAAGAAGGCGCTCCTAGTATAGCGGATACCAAGCCTGAGCCTCACCACATGTGCTCACACTGTCCCTATAGTTCACCCTACAAAGCTAACGTGATGAGACACATTAGGCTCGTACACGAGACTAATAATTCAGATGATGTTAGTAATGGAGAAGAAAGGCTTCGAGGGGATGATGATGAGGAAATAATCAGTAAGTAATTGATTGATTGATTGATTTTTATTCATAATTGAAATTATTATTGCAGTTAAAAAAGAAGCAATGGAACCGGAAATAATAATCGCACCGATCGAAGGACAAACGATAAAAGAAGAGCCCGATCTGTCGACAACTCCAAAGAGCAACAAACAGTTGGAAGAGGAAATTTTACAGGAGGCGGCCAAACCGGGGGCGCACTATTGCAAATCGTGCGATATTTATTTCAATTATTCTAGTTCGTTTATCGCTCACAAGAAATTTTACTGTTTGAGTCACGCAGGGGAAATTTCAAACGCCAATAATAATAATAATACAGGCCCTAGGACGGCTGAAACTTCTGTTTTATAATTCGACTAAGATGAGACTAATTTAGAGGATCATGATAAATGTGAGTTTATAAAGTTCTTGAAATACCAATAATAAAATAAGCGAGTTATACAGGGTGTTAAGTATGAGGATCTCGATAAAATTATAAGAGATACAAGATTTGTTAAATTGGGACAAAGTTTTTGTGCATCAAAATGTTGCTACTTAAAGAGAAAAAAAATATATTTTTTTTTGGTTCTGAATTTTTTTTAATCATGATAAGGTTAAGAAAAATTGTCAATATTTGTATTGAAATTCGAGCAAATCAGAATAGATTATACACTGTCAAAAAGAGCCTTAAATTCTCTACAAATCCGTGCTAAATTGAGTTCGATAGCGCAAATACTTTCTGAGCAACTGAGCCGCAAAGTTGAACATTTTTAATGAATCAAAAATTCCCAAACTTCCTATGGGTGAATTGAAAATTTAACCTTTTCTTAAAAAAATCTTTGAAAATATGAGCAAATTTTTGTTTTCTACTTATTATAACAAGTAAAGTTTCAATAAAAAAAAAATATTTGTTTTCATTTCTATATTATTTTAATGTTCTGATGTAAACGCACATCCAAAGCTGGCCACTACAGTTTCTTATAGTTGACTTGATTGATCATAACTGTATCAACTCAATCAAAATGACAGGGTTTACACCGACTTCTTTTGATGAAAATCCAAAAATAAAATCTCATTGTTTTCTGACAAAGTTGTATGATTACTAAGATCCCCATGCTTATTGACAAATTTTTAACACCCTGTACAATTAGACCATTTGCTCTTGTATACGAAATTTTTTACTTTTGCAATTCTTTGTTTTGTTAACAGGGTGAAGCCAAAAAAAAACTTAAAAATTAGATAATACATTTCAGTGCAATGAGTTTAGTAAACACCCTGTATAGTTGTGTAGCTCAAAAAAAGTACTGAAAATTATTGAATGTCATTGCTGTAACATTTATTATTAAGAAGCGGATATCATTTTTGCTTCCAAATAAGTGCAAAATTCTTGATAGTGAAATAAATTCTCTGCTTCTTAAAGAATGTAATAAATGTACCTTTAAACCTAATACACTGCGTTAATTTTGAACAGCAGTATAAATAATTTTTTGTGTTATTTAATGTATAATCCTAAATGTATAAAAAAACAATAAGTGTTTTGTACAAAGTTGAATTTTGCTTAGTTTTAAGTTTAATTAAAAATATGCCAAAGCATGATTATTCTAATATGGTTGGAATCTGTTGTAACAATAATTATTATTCAATTTACATATTTGTTAGGCTTTATAATTATTATGTTTTTTTTTTTTTTGTATGGTTATCTCTCAAAAATAGATAAATGTAAAATATAGAATCTATTCTTATCATAGCTGTGAAGGTGGTTTTTGCAAAATACGCCAACCCCCCATTTAGATTTAAATAACATTTTTTGACACTGTAAACAGTGGATGATTACCGTTTTCTTGGAGACAATAAATTATTTATTTCTAAAAAAAAGTCTATTTTGATTTTATGTTAAATTTCTTTTCCTCACATATATGTATTTTTTTGTAATCAGTTCTTATCTGTAACATAGTTGGGAGTTCTCGTGCATTTTTGCTGTTGAGATAAGGGTTGAGGGCATTTGCATAAGGCCACAATAAATAAGGGAAGTTATCTGGCCACGCGGGGTCGTGTGAGGCACGCCTCCGAGATCACCTGCTCAAGATAAGGGTTGCACACAAAAAAAAAAATACGAAAAAGAGAATATGTTGTTTATACATACATACATTGCATGCATGATAAGGTTGAGATTTTTTGGATTAGTACACAATATTTTAGATGAAAATATTTTGTCGTGTTAGCGTCATATTTGAAAAATAATCTCCACGAATAACAATAAATCTCGCCCCCTCATACACATATGATCATGATTAAAAAGGCATTAATCCGAGGTCATTTATTCCGAGATAAAAATGTGTGTGCGTGAAAAAAAGTAACTCTTTGGGTGCACACAGGAAAATTGCAGGCAGATTTGCATTTTCCGTGATTGCATGCGTTCCTTTACCCAATTACAAGGAAAAAACAGGGGAACTAAAGTAGGCTAATAATAATAAATCGTAATTATTTACTTGCTTTTAATTACAAAAAAAAAATAATATTTTAAAAATGTTATTTTACTTACTTATTTTCTAAAACTTAATAATAATATTCTTCTTCATCAATGTCTCCACAATAGAAATCGTTAGCCAGGCCTGTTGTTTCAACGTTTTTATTTTTGGATTTAAAAACGGCATATTTTTGGCCAAACCTCAATTCGTCCTCTTTATCGATATTGGCCTGTTGAAAGTCCTCCTCCTCTCTGCTGTATATCAAATTTTCTGCATCTGAATCGCTGGAGAGGAGATCTTCATCCATTTTTAAGTTTTTTACAGCTTCAATCTAAATAAAAAGCTTCTTTGTAAGTAGGTAGTTAGAAAAAGAAAAAAACTTTTAAGACATATAAATTGAGGTCACTTTTAATATATCAGAAGTGGATTTTTAGAAAATTCTCCTAAAGTTGCATTCAAGAGACTAACTTTGAATTCCAGGATTTATAAATTAAAATCTCCTTCAAATGGGAATAAAAATCAGAAGTGGATCTAGAACTCAGAAATACATTTAGTATTTATTTCCAAATGAAGAAAATTTTTCAGAATTCACATTTGGGAGTTTCTTGAAAATACTGCTAGGCCTAACACTGATATTAATTTTCAAGATGTATGAAAAAGAGTCACTTCTATGAAGCAAAATTTATAATGAATCAGAAGTGAATTTACACCTTTTACACCTTTTACAACACAAAATAAATATAGTGGTCTTGACGTATTATTTTCGCTCCGTGAAAAGAACAAGTTTTGGAATGATTTATAGCAAAATTTTAGTGAAGAGTGGCATCAGGTGAAAGAGGAAAAGAAGCGTCATCTAATACGCTTATTTTCTAGTGGTGGTGCTCGGAAATAGAAAGAAGAAACGCGAAAGTTCCTCATGTGTTCTTAAACAAAAAATAACATTCCTAAATCTTTATTTAAACAAACGTGTTTTTTGTAGGCATCCTTTCTGTAAACAACATTTATCGTCAAAATGCCGCCCAAAAAAAATTTATTGGTAAACACAGCTAAGGAGGTGAAGTATATATATTTTATCAAGTCGGAATATAAACTACTGTGTTCTGGAAAGTGTAAAAAATGGCTATGTCAGAAATGTTCGGCCTTAAGTCATAATGAGGTCCGCAACCTGATAGAAAGTAAAGAAATCTGGTATTGTGGAAGATGCACGGTACCCAGTAGTAGTACTAGAAAGTCTGTATTAGTACATAATAGCTCAGATGAGCAGTCTAGTGAGGATGAGACTCGACAAGAGGAAAACGCAGACCCCAATGTTAAATATACAATAACAGATGTAGTGAGGCTGCTGGAAAGAAATCACGACTATATGAAAAAAGAAATAAAAGCTCTCAAAAGTGATATAACAACTCTACAAAATTCACTGCAATTTATGTCCGACACGGTGGATGACCTACAAGGAGAAAACAAAAAAATAAAATATTCTCTTCAGGAGGAGAAAAACGAACTGCAACAAGCAAAAGCCAGAATAAGTGTTCTAGAGGAAAAAATTGACAATACGGAACAGGAAAAAAGGGAACGAAATTTAATAATTATCCATGCCTGCAGGCAGGTGGAGGAAAACACGCAAGTTGTTGTTTCTAAACTTATAGGAAAGGTTGGAGTTAAAATTGATACAACAGATTTTACTTGTAAGCGACTGGCCGAAAAAGAAAACTCACCAATCTTGGTGGAACTGAAAAGTACAAACCTAAAACAAGCTATCCTTAAAAAAAGAAAAGAGGTTGGTCAGTTTACAATGGAGGATTGCGGCTACGTTGGCAAGAAGACATTATACTTTAACAAAGACCTAACCAGAGCCAAACAGGAATTATTTACCAAGACAAGAAAATTCAAAGAGGAAAATGGTTACAAATATGCTTGGATACGAAACGGGAAAATTTATTTAAGAAAAACTGACAACGACTGTCATCTGTGGATCAAAAGGGAAGAAGATCTTATACAACTGCAAAAGCAGGACTCTTAATACCTAATTAAATACTAAGTAATACACTGAATTTTTTGCCTTTTCAACTTAAAAATGGCCAATGTTATGGATGATTTTTAAGCTTTACCAACTACGGAAGTTGATACAACAATTGTGGAATCACCATTTAATAACGAAGTGATTTTTCCAGGAGTGCATGGAATTATTTGCCTAACTCTCAATATACGCAGTCTAAGGGTAAATATTGAAAACTTTTTGTTATATTTAAATTACTTAAAACAGAAACCTAAAATAATTATCTTAACTGAAATATGGATAAAAAAAAACGAACAAAGTTTATATGGTATACAGGGGTACAATGCATTTTTCGCTACAAGGGAAGGACGAAGGTCCGGGGGTGTCGCTATATACGTGACCGACCAATTTGAAGTAGATTCAGCGGAAATTTTAAACATGACTACAGCAGAAGCACTTAATGTTCAAATTACATACAATAATAAAATACTTTCAATATTAGGGTTATACAGATCTCTGGACTATGATATGAAAGCATACATTGCCGAGTTAGAGCCAATTTTAAACAATATTAATAAAAATGAAATAGTCTATTATACAGGAGATATAAATTTAAACATATTATCAGAAAGTATAGACGATTACAAAGCACTTCTTAGCAGTATGGGTTATACATCGTGTATAAACGGCATTACGCGGTCGAACGATAATCTGGGAACTTGTGTCGACCACATATTTATAAAATGTAAAGAGAATGAACTACACAGTGCTATAGTTCACTCAGATATATCAGACCACTATACTATTCTAGGCGTTATACCTGCCGACACTGGAAATAACACGGTCAAGGTGTCAAAAATAAATAATGTAAAAATTAATTATAACAAACTACGTTTTAAAATATCTAGATTCAATTGGGATTTTACTAGGGACTGTAGCACAAATATAAATAATAAATTTGACAGATTTCTAAACTCATTGAAAACTATGGTAACAGAAAGTTCTGAAAAAAAAGAGTTTTCCAGCTACAACAAAAAAATAAAACCCTGGATGTCCAGCGGCTTATTAAAAAGTATAAGAGAACGAAATAAATTATTTAAGAAACATAAAAAGGAACCTTCAAATGCAATTATCAGGCAGCAGTATCTGTTATATAGAAATAACGTAAAAAAACTAATAACTGTATCAAAAAAATCTTATTACGAAAGCGAGTTACTTAGGAACAAACATAGCATTAGAAAACAATGGCAAACTATTCATTCAATTACAAATTCTAACAATAATAAAGATCATGTTACTAGAATCAAAGATCCAAACACTGAAGAGGTAATAACTAATAGGAAAGAAATCGCAAATTTACTCAATAAGTATCTTGTAGAAAATATAAAAAAAGTTGCAAGGAAAAATGAAAAAGTTAAAAGAGATTGGTCAAGATTAGTAAACAGCTCTAAAAATATAAATCACTCCCTTTTTTTTCCACCCCTCATCGAGTCAGATATAATAGAAAGTATTAATTCATTAAAAAGTAACAAGGCGCCAGGTCCAGACTCGATCACATCCAATATATTAAAAGAGATTAAAAATGATATATCCCAGATTCTATCGGAACTTTATAACCAGTCACTTCTTGAAGGAATTTTTCCCGAATGCCTCAAAAAAGCAATCATAATTCCTGTACATAAGGGGGGACAAAAACAGAGGCAGGGAATTACAGACCAATCGCCTTGGTTTCTGTTTTCTCCAAATTATTTGAAACACTTGTTTTAAAAACACTAAAAACTTTCTTAAGCAAACACTCATTCTTCTCAAAATATCAATACGGTTTTTTGGAGGGAAGGGGTACCGAACTAGCTCTAATAAGTTTCACTAAGCAAATAATAAAAGCCATGGAGGAAGATAAATACATTACAGGGTTATTTCTAGACATATCCAAAGCGTTTGACGCTCTCTCACATGATGTTCTGTTGGGGAAAATGCACAACGCAGGAATTAGAGGACTGGCCCTTAAATGGTTCGAATCTTATGTGACTAACCGTAAACAGCAAGTAAAAGTACAAGATGAACTAAGCCAGGAACTTGAACTTCAGTGTGGAGTCCCACAGGGATCAGTATTGTCTCCAACATTATTTCTTATATATATCAACGACCTGTTCGACTCCTCACTGAAAGGCATGGTCGCTGCATTCGCAGACGATACTGCAATATTTTATAAGGCCGATACCCGGGAAGATCTGCTAGAAAAATTACAATTTGATCTGAAAATACTGACTGAGTGGTTTTCAATTAATAAGCTCTGTGTCAATGTCAAAAAAACCAAATTTGTCAACTTCTCTGTCAGGAATCAGTTTCGCTTTAATGTTCCCCTTAGGTTTCACAGTGTGGAATGTAAACTTACTCATTGTAACTGTAGCGAAATTGAGCAGGTTGAATCAATCAAATACTTGGGGTTGACCCTTGACCAAAATATGACCTGGAAGACTCACATTTCTAATGTAAAACTAAAGCTGAATACTATTCTACCAACATTTTATTTTCTTCGTGGAGTGGTACCCCAAAGTACATTAAGAATGATGTATATGGCATTGGTGCAATCTGTAATAACCTATGGAATAAGTATCTGGGGGGGCATTTACAGAAGTAATAAGCGACCACTTTTAATTGTGCAAAAATGTTTCATCCGCGTTATATTGAGAGCTGGGCACATGCAGTCATCTGGGCCGTTATTTGAGCGGCTTGAAATATTAAATCTGGAAGCATTACACAGACTGCATTGTTGCAATGCAGTCTTCAAATACAAAAAGCAACTTAATTTAAGAATATCTCAAAATGTCAGAGCTTTCCTAAAATTCACTCAGCCTTTAGTCAGATTAACTCTATCGTTGAATTCTTTCTACTATCAGGGGCCTAAAAATTTCAACTTTATCAGGGTTCCAGCCTCTTTAACACAAGATAGGGATGTGAAAAAATTTATTAGATGTAGCATAAAAAATAAATAATGCTTTTTTTTGTTTTTATTTGATTTGTTATACTTCTGACACATTTTGTGTAGGAGCTCCATGTTAACTGGTTATCATTCTTAGTTATATTATAAATCTACTGAACTGTACTAGAAATTAAGTCAAGTAATGTATCTTAAATTCTGCACACGGGCATCTGTATGCCTTGCAGAACCACATCAATGTAATGGGCTATATGTAATAAATTATGGAATCCAATTTTTGTAATTTTTAATTTATATTCATTAAATAATAAATAAATTAAGTTTAGGATTAAGGATTAAGGTATTAAAATTGCAAAACTGTTTTAGAAAATTATGCTTCACATCTTTATAACATAAGTAATTATAAAATTGAAAAATTTGGCAAACCTTACCCCATTGTAAATCAACATTTGAATAAATAAATAAATAAAATAAAAAATAAATTATAATGTATTGTAATTGCAATGAGATTAATGATCATTTGGGACACCTTAGTAAGTACTAAAATGATGAAATTTCAAATTCTTTTATGTTGAGATTTTGTGCATAAATGATCATCGGGACCCCCCAAATTCCATACACTAAATTATTCTGAGATTTGGAGCTGGATTCTATGAAAAAAGCTACTCGGAAAATTGAAAAATTGATACGGGCTACGTAAATCACCCTGTATATTGAAGTAAATAAAGCAAAGTATGAAGTAATTGCTTCTAGTATCTACTTTAAGAATTATGTGCAGTAAATGCTATAATTTTTTGAAGTGAAAACTACAAAATAGAGCATTTGTTTGAGACAAATTGGAATCTTCAAGAACATTGTAGAAGCTTACAGAACACTTTAGAAGCAATTTAGAATTTGAGAGACATCTACAACAAACCAGAACACTACTCAACTTTTGGTAACATTTTCAAAATCTTTTGGAACACTGTAGAACACCTTAAAAATCATGTGGAACTTTTGGAAACAATCTAGAACTGGAAACTTTTAGAATATCTTGAAAATAATCACATGACACGTAGAATTAACCTAAAACTTCCATGAACATATTAGGACATTCTAAAACACTTCTGAACTTATTTAGAATTTCAATTAGAACTGCTTGAGAATATTTGGGAGATTTCTGATGATAACCTCTAGAACTTTCCAACGATTCAAAAGCATTAACCAACCGATGCGCTTGTGCCAATTTGGAACATTTTTAAACATTCAATTTTCAATCATCCTGCATTTGTTTGAGGCAAATTGGAACTTTCAAGAACATTGTAAAACGCTACAGAATACTTTAGAATCAAATTAGAAATATTCTAGTCAGAACACTTCTGAACTCTCAGGAACATGTCAGAAAGCTTGAGATAATTTAAAGTTTAAGTTAAGATCCAAGATAAAATTTTTAGGAGTTTATATTCTTGCTGGAGTGCTCTAGAACACTTTAATTGGAGTCTGTTTTTTATTACGAAGTTGAACTTAGACTCTGGAACATGAAAACTTTAATGCAAAACCAGTTAAGTAGTATCAAGGATTTTTCTAACTCACCATATCATCTTCATTGACACTCTCCAAATCCTCTTCATCCGGATAATCATTCTTCCAATAATTTTCAGCATTAGAATCTTCACTCTCGTCATCAGAATCATTATCCAACAACCCGTTGTCTCTTATTGAACCAAAGACTAGAGGATCGTTTACCGGATAAACACTAAAATAGAAAAAAATTAAAATTATTGCCAACTGTGCCAACAAAAACTTACCTTGATTAAGGGCTTGATTGTTCATTGAAAGGCCACTATATCGATTTTGCTTGTTATTAAGCAATAACATTAGAATGTGCTACACAATAATAATGACACATTCTAAGGTATTTGTTAACTAACTAAGGCAATTGATATAGCCGCACTTAATACAAGGTTTTATTGCAATAATTAAAACTAAAACTCTGTCAATAATAATAATTAAGATTTTAATATTTAAATTGTGGCAATTACAATAATTATTATTGAATACATAAGCTAAAATGTCTTAATTTCTATATGTAAAAAATTGAGATTATTAGTACAAAATACGTTTTAATAGTACATAAAACTAAACTGAGCTACTAACCTAACATATTCAGCAATATCAGCTTCGCCAAAATCATCAGAATTGGTATAATAAAAGTCGTAAACGTATTTCATACTGGGTTCCTGGTTAACTGTAGCAGGTTCGTTGCTATTGTGATCAGTCTCCACATCGAATACTGTGACTTCTGAGGCACTGGAACAGCTGGCTTGAGGCTCATTATCTTCGCTATTTAAAGTTTTCCTGAAGCAATTCACAATTTTGTAGCGGTTGTTTTTTGAAGATTCCTTCAAGTCTGCCCGGATTTTGTCGCTGATATTCACCGGATGCTTTTTGAATTGTTCTTTAAGCTCGGCTGCGTCTCCAACACGGTGTTTTCTTAGAAGAGCTTCAATGTTTTCTTCCTGAGAGTAATTAATTTGTTTTACACGTGGTTGGTCAATTTAAAAGGACCCATTCCTAATGAAAATGGGGCAAAGGAATTAACGGGGTTGACTTACTTTTTGCGAAGTCCCGGCCAATTTGAGGACTGCTGATAAGTCTTCGTGTTCCTCGGATTGTTTGCTTCCATTGGATTTTTTTCGTTTGCAATTTAACACTAAACTTTCCAAAGGGTCTTCATCTAGACGACGTTTAATTCTGACGACTGCTGCCATTTTATTTTATGGGGTGGTTTGTGAGGAGAAAATTCACAAAATTATAAATTATAGAGAAAAGAAATTGAGAAAAAGAGCAAAATCCGAAAATCGCTTCTTAATTTGTATGTTGTTGTGGTTTGGCATGTGTGACAGGACAGTGTGGTGTGACGTGTGTCATAGACGTGTGTGGTTTGAATTGACAGTTTATTTTTATTTGACAGCTTGCCTTTTGCTTTCCAGAGGTTGGTAACACTGCCAATTGCAACGTTGCCATTAGCAAAACTTATTTCAAGGTGAGTTCGGAATGGTAGAAAATGTCGACACTTTTTACACTATTGACACTGTGGGGTTCGTTAATTGGTAGGAGTAAAGTTGGTGTATACTTTACTTACGTTTGGAAATTATTTGGTGCCCGAATGGTGTAAAGATAGTGTGACACGTGACACCGTTTACACGAGTTGAGTTCGGAATGGGATTTTAGTGTAGTGCAGTGTTAGTGAGTGCGGTGTTCGTGTGGTGCTGTGTTATATCACGTGATGGTGTAATTGGCGGTGTGACACCAAATACACCATCACTTTATAACGAGTAAACGGTGTCCCACCATTTATACACTATTTGGACACCAAATGATTTCCAAACGCAAATAAAGTGTACACCAAATTCACTCCTACCAATTAACGAACGCCACAGTGTCAATAGTGTAAAAAGTGTCGACACCTTCTACCATTCCGAACTCACCTACGGTAAAAAATAATGGTGTATTCGGTGTTACACCGCCGATTACACATTACACCTTCATCACGTGATATAATCCTGCACTACACGAACACTGCACTAGCACCGCACTAAAATCTCATTCTGTCCATTCCGAACTCAACTTGAATGGATTTCAACCAACCTTGCGTTCGGTATTTTGCTCAAAAAGCAGAGCGTGCTGAGCGGAGCCGTAATCACGTGACCAGCGAGCGAACAGAGCAGTTGAACGCTGTATCCGAGTGCCCGAAAATTTAATAAACGAGCGCGAATGAGCCTGCACCGAGTACACTTTTCAAATAAACGAACCGTAAATTTAAGCTCGAAGAACTCAGATCAAAATACCGAACGCACGGAAAAAGCCGAACTCAGCCTTTGAGTTTTGACTTTGACTTGACATTTCTATTTTTATGGTTATGTTATGTGGTTTGTTTATTGTTTTCGTTTGCCTTTTCGCTTAAATTTTATCAATAAATAATTCGGTTTTCCATAGTGTTAATTTGCATCATTTTTATTAATTAGAAATAATTATTTAGTGTGTTTCAATTTAATATTAACAGTGGAAATTTCATTTCAAATTATGACCGACGATTCGTGGCGAACTCACGCCTTCAGGCAGAATGTTATAACAAAAATGTAAAGTTTTTTTTTTTTAAATTTATCAGAAAATATATAGTTCAATTGTGCATAAAATAATCACTAGCATAGACAAAAAAACTGAACCCTCTAAGGGCAGATTTATTCACAATTTGATAAACTGTTAGGTAATGCAATCTGAGGAATAAAAACGCAGTCTGTAATCTCATTGGTCAACCAGTTACCCGCCGACCAATGGGATTATAGATTGGTAAATTTATGTTGCAGCAAGTTTATCTGAAGATTAATAAACTGAACCTAAAACAGAGCTGTCACAAGTACATTACTAAAGTACTTGCGAGTACAAGTAGAAGGTACTCAAAGTTTTGTAAAAGTAATTGAAGCACAAAGTACATATTTTTCCCAAATGTACTCGAATTACCAAGTACTTAATAAAAGTACTAGAATTTTTCATAGTTCTTACTTTGAAGTACAATTGAAATATTTCATGTACCTATTTGTACTTTAAATACATTATAATGGGTCTTTCTCAGAGCCAGTACTTTTGAAATGTACTTGAAGTTCAAGTATGAAGTAAATACCTATATTTGATAGATTTACTTGAAGTACAAGTACAAGTTTTTTAAAATTATACTTTAATTATCAAGCAACTTGAAATTTACTTGAATTTTATCAAGTAATTTACTTCAAGTTAAAACATTGAGATTCAAGTGGAGTGGTATTTAGCGGCGTATCAACTCATCTCAGGGTCTGTGTGCCAAAATCTCCGCAGGCCTATCACAAGTTCCCCGTTTTTTTTTTTTTTGGGTAACCCAAACTAATCTAAATTTTGCCCCAAAAGTCGTTCAAAAAACACTACGGGCCGAATTTATAGTCGATTCTTGACTCTTCCTTGGAGGATATGAGCTTAGAACGAACACTTAAATCTCAAGGAGCGACTATAAATTCGGCCCTGATAAACTTTTTTTTAGGTATTTTTATTCGATCGTTCTATCAGAATCCTGAATAAGTTGACCAGTTCAAGATAGGCCTTGTACAGGGTGCTGCCATTTGGAGTGTTTTAACAGGAAAAACACACTTCCCGACCAGATAGAGGAAAATTGACAAACATGTCATGGGATCGATTTTCGAGAAACGTCGATTGTCAAAAACCGTATCGCGATATCTTCAATGGTACTATTAATACAGGGCGATTTTCGATTTTCCCCTATTATGAAAAATGGCTATAAGTTTTTTATTTATCAATTTTTTTTATATCTGTAAAAACATTATGGAGACACTTTTTTGAGCACAATCCAGTGGCGGACTCGGTTTTTTTCTATATCGCTCCGATTCCGAGATATTGATCAAATTCCGATATTTTCAAATGAAGCCCCCTATATATTAATAGCTCATTGGATAGCTCTGTTTTTGCTGATTTGAATGATATAAAGTTCGATAGGTTTATCTCTAATAGTTTTCATTTCTGTTTTTGTCATAAGGACCAATGTGTTAGAAAAGGATTTTATATGTGTAAGGAAAGTGAGAAAGGTCTCTTTCTAACACATTGTTTTTTATGACTGAAACAGATATAATTTTTTTTCTGGAAAACTGTTAGAGATAAACCTATCGAACTTTATATCATTGAAATCAGCAAAAACAGAGCTATCCAATGAGCTATTAATATAAAGGATGTTTCATTTGAAAATATCGGAATTTGGTCAATATCTCGGAATCGGAGCGATATAGAAAAAAACCGAGTCCGCCACTGGATTGTGCTCAAAAAAGTGTCTCCATAATGTTGTTACAGAAATTAAAAAAATTGATAAATAAAAAACTTATAGCCATTTTTCATAATAGGGGAAAATCGAAAATCGCCCTGTATTAATGGTACCATTGAAGATATCGCGATACGGTTTTTGACAATCGACGTCTCTCGAAAATCGATCCCATGACATCTTTGTCAATTTTCCTCTATCTGGTCGGGAAGTGTGTTTTTCCTGTTAAAACACTCCAAATTGCAGCACCCTGTACAGGGTGTTTCACGAAAGTCGAAATAGAGGCGTTTTAGTCGATTTAAAAAAAACGCTCGGGCACGTCAATTTTGTATTCAAGGAGGAAACTTTTTGACCGCATCGGTGTTTTGCTAGGGTGCACCCCCTGGGTGGGGTGACTTTCACCACCCTTTTTTAGATAGGGAAGATGGATCGAGTGTTACCTTGATTTATAGATATTTTGATTTTCGTCACAACTGTGCACTTTTTTCAGAAATCGAATGATTAGTTCTCAAGATATTCACTGTCAAAGTTGCCATGGGCTAAATAAGAAACAATCTTCTGGCCCTATAATTCTTAAATTAACACTTTCCTGACTTTCCTTTCGGAAACGTCACGTCACACCGGTAGATACGCCACTAAGTGGTATTACTTGAAGTATATTTTAAAAATTAAAATACTTTAAATAAATTACTTGAAGCCATACTTGAAGTAATTTTACATTAGAACTGCCAAGCGACTAAAAACCGGTGAGCGTTTTCGAGAACGAGAAAAACGCTTCCCGCTTTTTAGTCGCTCGGTACTTTTAATGTAAATTTGCATTGAAAGTGCCAAGCGACTGAAAAGCGGTGAGCGTTTTCAAGAACGAGAATACCGGCCCTGGTCTTTCTCATAAATATAAAATGTGAAAATTTTTCCATTTATTATTTTTCAAAAATTAATCAACAACTCAACAGGCAGTCTCTAATGTCTATGTTACTTTAAATATTTGAAAATATAAAGTACTCAAGTTGAGCTTCAATTCAAGTATACTTCTGAAGCACTTGCAATATTCTCATTGTACTTGAAGTATGTACTTTTATAGTATTTGGAGTCCTTCTGATGTACTTCAAGTACTTCCATAAGCTCGAAGTACTTTTCAATGTATTCCTAGTCCTTGTACCTGATGAAATCAAGTACAATGCAAAGTAGATTGTTAAAAATAGTTCAAGTACTAAGTATAAGTACTGTTTATTCACAGTACTTCAAGTAACATACTTCAAGTACTTACAAGAAATTGAAGTACAATTTCAAATATTTTTCCTGAAGTACCTACCTAACAGCTCTTGCCTAAAGTTTTAAAATATTTTCTTGAGAACTAATAAAAATAAAGAATTTGAAAAAATCTACTATTTAGGTTTTTGGTTTATTTAGTTTTTATGGTACTTGCCGAGGTACTTACATTTGGTTTTTTATAGAGTTTAGAGCTTTCTTAATTTTGATAAAATTTTATTGAAATATTCTTAGTAGTGCAAAAATATTCACTTTTCCTTTGAAAGAAACAAAAAACCAAGTTTTTCTGAAATTCAGAATCTTGTTTTTTTTTTACCAATAAGCCAAAGCTCCAAATGGCTGTTCTCATCTTTCCTCTTCTGCTTCAGCTACAACCAATTTTACGAACTCACCAAAACTCACTCAGTAGCTATTAATCTACCTAAAACCAAGATTTTTTTCTTATTAATTTTACAGTGAAGAAGCCATTCGTCAATCCGGAATGAACACTTCTAGAAACAGCGTCGAAATGGAAAATCATGTGTATCAAAAAGCGAAAAACAAAGAGGAATATTTAAGTTTTGTCGCCAGACTTATCCTACATGTCAGAGAAATGAGTGAGAAACATTTTAAAATATGTATAAAAACATTCTAAAATTATTTATTAAGATCAATATCAGAGTTGTTGGAGAGGTATCATGTGTTTGTATAATAATATATTATGCTTAATTTTTTTCTCATTTTTCTCCTTTAATTGTTTGTTTTTTCCAGACTCTTCGAATTTCTTTTTCAATTCAATCATCCCAATGAAAAAGGAGAAAATTCAAGAGCCAGTAATAGATAAAAATTGAAAGAAAAAATTAATAATTGAATCAATATATTTTTGCACTATTTCCTATGCTAAAATTAAGATGGTTGCAACAACTCAATCAATAAATCAGGTCCATTAAATTCCACTGTCCCTCCCTCACTATCACTTTATTAAAACCCAGTTCCAATTATAGACAGCAAAAAAGGACAACCCGGACCAATGGGCGGAGTACCAGGAGCGCAACAACAACAACCGCCCGGAATCCAAGATCCCATCAACGCCCTACAAAATTTAGCCAGTCAAGGTAAAAAGTTTCCTAACGAAAATCTTTAAAATTAATACAAAATCGACTTTAGGCAGCAGAAATTCCATGGTCATGAGCGGCCCGCCCCAGCCTGGGCAAATGGGCGGCCCAGGACAGGGCGGCAACAGCCTGATGCAGCCGATGAACCAGCGGCAAATCATGATGGGCGGCGGTATGCCCGGAAGTATGCCCATGCAAGTGGGACCGCAAAACATGAACATGCCGCCCAACAATCAAATGCCCGGACAGATGCCTATGCAGTTGCAAGGGCCGATGGGTGGACAGATGGGCGGACAAATGGGTGGCGGAATGCAGGTAAAATAATTTGCTTCTTAAATATTGAGCAACTTGAAATTTAGTTAATGGTTTAATATTTCCTGACTGTCGAGTTTTAGGTATTTCCTGTAGTAAAAATGATTGACTCATATTGTATTGTACGCGATTTGTTCTATTTTCGTATTTTATTGCTTGTTATTAACCTAGGGCTACCACATAATTTATAGGTTTTTCAGTATTAGTGCGACCGTTGGCAATAAAGTATTGATAATATTTTTGTTAGATGCAAGGACCTGGTGTAGGACCAGGACAAATGGGACCTGGACAAATGGGACCCGGACAAATGGGACCCGGACAGATGGGACCTGGACAGATGGGTCCGGGTGGCATGCAAATGGGCCCTGGTGGGATGCAAGGCCCAATGAATCCTCAAATGATGGGTAAGGAGCAAAAGATGTTTCATAAATTCCAATATTTTTGAGTCAATTTCTTAGGTGGAATGCCTCAACTCCAACAGCCTAAACCGCCAAATCAGCCCAATCAAATGCTCCTAAACCCAACTATGATGGGCAGCGGAGGTTACGTCAGACAACCAGGCCCTGGTCAAATGTACGCCCAATCGCCTTTACAATCTGTCCAAAGTCCTGCAGGAGGAGGACTGTCGCAGCCGCCCAGCGCGTCTCCTGCGCCCAGTCCTGGAGCTCCTATGGGCATGATGGGCGGTCCCAGACCTCAGTGCATGGCACCAAGTCCAGGAGCTTCGTTGAATACCCCTGGCCAACCCGGTCACAGTCCTATGGGCGCTGGCGGGCCTATGACTGATGAACAAGCTTATAGAGAAAAGGTCCGGCAGCTTAGCAAGTATATTGAGCCTTTGAGGAAAATGATTGCTAAGATGGGCAATGACGGTAAAAGATGTTTTCGTTATTTTAAGATGAATTTTCTATTTCAACTTTGTTTATAGATGTTGAAAAAATGAGTAAAATGAAAAAATTACTAGAGATCCTATCAAATCCCCAACAACGTATGCCACTTGATACATTAATCAAGTGCGAAATTGTATTGGAAAAAATCGATTTTAAAAGAAACGATGGCTCTGTTAATGCTACCTCAGCGCCACATCTTCCCTTTAAAGAACCTCACGTATTTCACTCATTACTGGACGCAGTAGCTCAAAACCTACAAAGTCCAGTAATCAATCATACTTTACATAGAACATTTGGGCCTACTTTAGATGCCTTATTTGGACCAGAATTTAAGTATGTTCATCTAACAATTTAGATTGAAAAATTCCTAAATCCCTTTTTATTAGATTGGTTCCAATACTAAAAAAAGCCACTCTAGAAGAACCGACAAGTGACATTCCAGACGTACTTCAAGGCGAAATTGCCCGTTTGGATCAAAGATTTAAGGTCAGTTTGGATCCCAACCAGCAACCAGGGACTAAAAGCATTCAGCTGACTTGCTGGCTGGATGATAAGTAAGTAATAAATAAAATCCACCCTAATTACTTAATAATAATTTGTAAATATTTTAGGCAATTGCCATGTGTCCCACCAATTTCCCTAACAATTCCAGAAGATTATCCGAAAGAATCTCCCACCTGTCACATGGCATCGCACGAGTACAACGCAACGAAATTCCTGTCCGACGTCCAAACTGCTTTGTTGGCGCGCATAAAAAAGTTGCCGAAAAATTTTTCAGTGTCCCAACTGTTGGACACATGGGAGATGAGCGTGAGACAGGCGTCGGCACCGGGCAACGCTGTAGAAGTGAATGCTTTCGCTATACTTATGGGGCTATGATAATTTGTGTGTATTTGTTACATTTTAATCTCTAGCAAATAGTTTGGTAAAATAGATTCAATAATCATTATTCACAATATGTACAAACTCCATACACCAAATTATTCTCAGATTTGGAGCCGGATTCTATGAATAAAGGCACTCGGAGAATTGTGAAATTGATAAATTCACTGCAAATTGCTTAACGCGATTTTATTTCTGGAACTATAAGTACAAATGAGCTGAAATTTTCAGGGATTGTAGTCCTTTACTGGAATAAGAATCGCTGAAAATTTCAGCTTTATATCTTTATTAGAAAAAAAGTTATGACCTTCCTCAGTAAATGGATGAAATTTCACAAAAATTTCAATTTTTTTTTTGTTGAGATTTTGTGTCCTAATGATCATTTGGGATCTCACAAACTCCATACACTAAAGTATTCTCGGATTTGAAGCCGAAATTTATGAAAAAGGGCACTCAGAAAAATTGATAAATCACCCCAAATTGCTTAACAGGATTTTATTTCTGAAATTATGCATCCAAATGAGCTGACATTTTTAGAGATTGTAGATTGGGATAAGAATCGCTGAAAATTTCAGCCACCATCATCAACTTCATTTTTTCATTTCATTTCATTTCAGATTTCATGAGCCTCTGATGTCCTAAAACCAATGACACGTATTGCAATTATTCGAAAAATTTATATTATTGGCACTTTCTATAGTTTCCATAAGAACTAAAATGTGTTAGAGAGAGACAGGGAATAGAATTTTGGTAGGAAATTACTAAAAAGGAGATAAAACATTTTTCCGAATAAATGCGATACGTCATAGGTTTTGGGACATCAGAAGCTTTTAAAATCTGAAATGAAAAATCCAGGGTCGTATTTAAAAAAATTAAGTTTATGATGGTTGACCAAAGACGAAACGTCGGATTTTAAATTTGATGGTAGATTCTAGTAGAGGAGAAAAAGTGACAACGATAAAGTGACATTTATTTTGGGATATCTCTTCAAATAAAAGACACTTTAGTTAGACAAAATACGTTAAGCTAAAGGCGGTTACACACGGACGTGGATGTCTGAAAACATGTACGCACATACATGAACGCGCAAACAAAAACATCAATGTGTATGCAAAATACTGTCGCGTTTTTGAATATGCAATTTTGTATGCACACTCGGAATACTGTAGCAAGAATAGCAAGACTGCAGTTTTGTGCGAGCGTCTGTACAAAGGCGCCATGCACGTTGTTGTTTGCACGTTGATGTATGCACGTATATGTATTAAGACATCCACGTCCGTGTGTAACCGCCCTAACGTAAGATTTGACAACTGCGCATGCGCAGTTTCTTTCCACCAAAAATAGCGTGTTACGTGTCACGTTATTTAGCGAGTCTTTGCGTGTACCTTATCCGTAAACGTTCATTAAACCGAGAAGGCCCGAAAGCTATATTGCCGGTGTCAATCTTTGCCAAATGTATTTTAACCTTTAAAAAAATGGTCCTGTAATTCAAAATAATCAAAATACAAAAAATTATTTCTAATTTGTCCTTTTCACAACAAAATTTAGTGATTAGGTCATGATTGTGAGATATAACGTTAACGGTTACGTGAAAATTTAACTTAAACTGATATGTGTGCACCGACGGTCACTCGACGCTATAGTACAAAATAGGGTTTACGTTTAAAGATTACGGTAACGTGTTTGGTCTAACTTAAAGTGTCTATTGCCAGGAAAAAATGAAAACCATTTTGAAAATTTTCGTTTTTTACCGGATATCTCCGGAAGTTTTCGGAATATCCTAAATATCAAAGCGGCATTTTGTTAAGTATCAAATTACACAACTTTGCCCTAATTTAACCAACCTGTATCTCTTACCGTTTCCGAGATACCAATGATGTGGCTCGAATTTGAAACACCCTGTACCTTATACGTACACGTATGCTAAACGTGAGCCCGAAAGCCAGAGTAGTTTTCTCGCAGGGCAAATGGTTCGAACCATTTCGGAGCACGAAACAGCGGAATATAGGAGGGGGATAACAGAAATGAGTAGTTTATAACACCAGGGTTTGGCGATTCAGCGCGAAGTTGGAGTGGAGTGAACAGAGCTAATGGAGTCACCCCTAATACGGTAAAAAGCAATACCCGAACCTTAACCCGAGCGGCTGGAGTGCGAATAGAGTCACTCGGAGTGCACGGAGTGAACAAGCCGAACCCACCTACCGCTAATTGCGGTGCACTCCTAAGCTGCTCTGGAGTAACGCGAGTGAGTCACTCACTGGAAAGCACCTCACCTCTATTTATGGAACAATCTATGAATCCGGCTCGAACTTTTTCAAACCATGTTCAATAGTTCAATGTGACGTCTCTGGTTCAATGCGAGTATGAATGTAATCTATAGCCGCTTTCCAGCTGTCATGTGTTTGAGCTTCTAGCACGGTGACCAGTCCCACCGCAAGAAAACAACTCAGATTTCTGGGATCGGCAGTTTCCATTTAAACCCCAAAAAAAAGATGACGAGAAATTCAAACAAAATTTTACAAAAAATAATTTTAATTTGTTCTGTTCACTTTGTTTCTTTTAAAATCATATATCTGCGTATTCAAATCTGAAATGCTGCTTAGCTTCTCATTCCTTCTAAAGGAGAAGCGACCATATAAATTCTCTCTAGGTACCCTGAATTATTGTGCATTACTTCCACCATCGTCAGAATTATGAATCTACCATAGCAAAATCCAAGATAGGTGTCATCCATATTGAGACCAACAAGGACCTACACGTACACCGTACACCCAAGAAACGTTTAAAAATCGTTGACTTTTGGAAGACTCACAAATACAGAGGTTGTCAATTTTTCAGTGGAAACGCGCCTTTATCAGTGGCGACGCCAGGGTTTTACGTTAGGGGGGGCCAGGCTGGGCCAAAAAAAATTAGGGCGCTTGTTCTTACTTTATTGCTTTTCTTGTTTGAAATAAAAAATGAGAATTGCAAAGTTTACCCGTATATTTTTGCACTCCACCTGAACAGCTTAATTGAATGTATCAAAAAGGTTTTTATTTGGATTTTGTATACAGGGTGTCCGTTTTTCGAGGACAACCATTGGAATATAGGAAACGGTAAGAGATAGAAAATCGAAATCAATGGCCAAATGTGTTACTGCTTTTGGGAGATCAAGAAACTCCGAATACAATTCATAAAAATGCAAACCTCTATTTAAAAAAATAAAGTTGATGATGATCGGCAAAAGACGAAACGTCGGATCTCAAATTTGGTTACACATGCAGACTTTGGTTACACCATTATGTAGAGGGGAGGAAGTTGCCCCATTAAAGTGAAGTTTATTTGAAATACCTTTCCAAATGAGTCCAGGAAAATATAGAAATGATTTTACAAAATTTTGATTTCCATATGTATCTCCGGAAGTATTCGGAATTTTCCAAATTTCGAAGTAGCGTTTTGTTAAGCAAGAAATTGCGCAACTTTGTCCCAATTAAACCGAACCTGTATCTCTTACCGTTTCCTATATTCCAATGATTGCTCTCGAAAAACGGACATCCTGTATAGGTAAATCTTCTTGATACCTATTCAATTAACCGTTCAGGGTCGGTTTCTCGATAGCTAGTCCAGGGTAAACGTGTCCAATTGCAATGTTTACTTTTTAGTTATGGTTAACTGCTCTGACCCGGGGGTGACTTGCTTGCTATTGAGAAACTGGCCTTCAGGTGAGGTGCCAAAAATACACAGGAAAACCCTGTACCTGCCCACACAAATATGTTTGGGGGAATCCCAGAAAAGCGAAAGCATAGTCGCGGTTGCCTGGCGCCCACCAAATATCAAATTAACCAGAGAACAGAGGTTACTCATCATGTTGCATTGCATTGTTGTCGACATGAGGACAAGTTTTCAGGGGGGGCCAGCTAAATTTCAGGGGGGCCCGGCCCCCCCTTGCCCCTCCCTGGCGTCACCACTGGCCTTTATGGGACAAGTTACCTGTCAAATATACGTTATCGTTAACGTGTTTTGTCTAACTAGCCGCTTTCCTAAAGCTGACTATTTTGAGCACGCAATCGAACTTTTGCGCGCGCGAATGCTTCAACCGCATATTCGTGTTCCAGCAGTACTACGCTACGAGAGCTGCTAACTTTTGCGTTTCAAACACAGAACACTGTTCTGCACCGTGCTTGAAGCACACAGCTGGAAAGTGGCTTTTAAAAGTACCTAATTGCACCGATTCCGTATGAGTCGTATGATTATAGCCGCTTTCCAGTATGGGAGTGCGACGCCCGGAGCTACTCGGAGCGTTGAGCTCCCGAGCTGTACGTACCCGTCAACCTTTCAGTTGTCACATCCGTGGGTGGCTATTTATTTATGTTTCTTTTCTTGTTATATCTCGGGATCGAGCGTTTCCAAAATATAGTTTTTATTTTCTTCAATTTTTAATAAATAATAAACAAACTGCACCAACAAATAGATAATTATTTTTAAAATTTGATATATTTGACACTAAAACAGGCGTCTCACGCCATGATACTGGAACGGTACAAATCTAGCGCGTGGCGCCCCCGAGGTGCTCTAGAGCGCGCCAATGTGCATACTGGAAAGCAGTTATAGGTGCAGTTGCGGAACATACTGCATTCGGAGCAAAAACTGCTGCACCAGGGATTAAAAATGTTGCACTTGAAATGGCCATCTTTTCTCTTCGAAGCGATTATAATCCAAATGAGGGCACACCATAAAATCAATACCCGAACGTACTTGAACTCTTTGATCCATCAAATATGACAGAGCAAGGGAGAGCGTTCAGTGCGAGATTTGAGAGCGCTCTATTGCTCGAGTCGAACACGTGAATCTCGCCGAGAGCAACGAAAGCGGATCCGAAACCAATTCTAATTGAACCGGGGAGAAGGTACTTTCCTAAAAACTAGAAATTTTATTGCACCGCGTACGATATGACTTGCACTGAACATGCGAATAGTTCCGGATCAGTTCTGAATCATCTTACGCTCTAGAACAATCCTTGTTTGAGTTAGTTCGGAACTGATTCTCGATTAATTCGAATCAAAAAATGCTCAAGTGGCACTTAGCAACCAATTTGTAATTATCAGCCGTGAGATGGCACTATTGCAGTTTTTAGTTGACATCTAAACTTCAAAATAGTCAAACTGTCAAAATAATCTTCTCTCTCCCTCTTTCTGTTTCAAAGTGCCAAGATGGTGAGTTTTTTCGATATTATTTTAAAAATCTGCTATCATCTAATGAATTGAGGTAAAAAATTAGAATTTTCCCATGGGAAATAGTTAATTAAACTTCCATCTATTATTCCCGAAAGATATTTTTCGACCAATTTGTTAACTGCACCCGTAATTGCATCTAAAAAGTGTTTGTTGTTATTCAAAAGTTTCAACCATTAAACGTTAAAACATAGAAAAGCTAAAGTGTATCAGTGCTTTTAAGTGTTAAATGCTCAATTCCCCCAGAAAAATGTACATATTTCAACGAAAATATCGTTTTTAGGCTCGAGGTCCCAAGAAGCATTTGAAACGTTTAAATGCCCCCAAGGCATGGATGTTGGACAAATTGGGGGGCGTTTTCGCTCCTCGTCCGTCCACCGGGCCTCACAAGTTGAGAGAATCGCTTCCCCTAGTGATTTTCCTACGTAACAGGCTAAAGTATGCTCTTACCAACAGCGAAGTCACCAAAATCGTTATGCAAAGGCTGATCAAAGTTGACGGCAAAGTCAGGACCGACCCTAACTATCCTGCTGGTTTTATGGGTAAGAATTTGTTTTGAGTATGTTTTCTGGCCCTTTCGAAGCTGTGTAATTGTTCCAAAATGACATTACACGGTCAAACTGAGGCCAAAATTGAAATTCTACTTATGGTCACTGGATAACTTAAGTTTTCATAGTTATTTCAGTATTACCCAAGTAGAAGACAAGTTGTATCGGTAATACAGATGTCTGTTATTGAAAACAGAACTTTTTAGTTGAAAAAAGTCATTTCACTGATCACTGGATAATTTAATTTATCATAGATATTTTTCACTATTGCCCAAGTATTTTCACCAATTTTTTTTGAATTTTTCTTCCGATATTTTTATTAGATTTCATTGTAGTTAAGCTCTAATTAAAGCCAATTAAATTCTCTACAAAGCTGTTAATTAAGATTTCAATGAGGGGGCGACCACTTCCCGCAATACGTGTACATTTGACCTGAAATCACTTGCAATCATCTCCGAAATCATTCTGAAATCCCGCAGTCAGTTCGCAATATCCGAAATCCTTCTTGCAGTCCCGAAATCTTTGTCTGCAATCTCTGAAATCCTATGCGATCTCTGAAATCGCTCAAAATCAGCTCTGGTGGGGATAAAAAATCAGCTGTTGATCGGGATTTTGCCCGTTTTTTGTGGTACATTGATAATTGACATCTTGTTTTTGTTGCTCCCATTTTTGAATTCAGCACACAACATTTAGTATTTTTTTTTTTTTGAAGAATCAAATGCTGGATCTGATGTGGAACAAGTAGAAATGTGATTTCATTATCCAATGAAAAATATTATGCAGCTCTTTATGACATCTGGTATATTGGACGTATTTCAGAATCATTGGAAAATGATACTTGAATCAAGTTTTTAAAGTGGCAGCTGGACATGTACAGGGTGGCCCATTTCCGATGTTTTAATGGGCAATATCTAAAACCAGCAGAAATTTTTTTTAGAGAAAATAACAATGGAGAAGACGAATCAAGGCTAAATTGTTTTTGAAATAGAATCTAGTGGCATGACCAGTTTTTTTTTTTTAAGATGCCACCGACTTTGGAATAATATAGGTAACCCTGTTGTGAAGTTGTATTTTTTTGTATGGACACCCAGTATAGCTGATTTCAATGATATACGGTTTTATAGCATTATCTCCGAAAGTTTTCGAGAAAAAAAAAATCCGTTTCTTTGTAAGAAGCAATGAATCAGAAAGAGATAATTGAAATATGAATCGGCTACAAATTTCTATTCTTAGGGCCGGTTTCTCAATTGCAAGTCACCTCCGGCTTGGTTTGAACGCCAGGGTAAGCATGGCCAGTTGCAATGTTTACCCTGGAGTTATGCTTAACTCGGGTTGAGAAACCAGCCCCTTATTCAACAAGTTTAGTTTTTTTTTTTTTTTCAATTTGAACCATGAATAATTGGGGGTGATAATGATGAATAAGCAACACATAATTTATTTCATGACTTATCTCTTTCTAGCTCATTGTTTCTTATGGAGAAACGGAATTTATTTTTTTCTTCTAAAACTAATGAAGATAAAGATAAAGCTATAAAACCTTATATCATTGAAATCAGCTCAAAAAAAGTTATGCAATGAAAAAATAATATACGGAGTGTCCTATTTAAAAAACACAACTGGTTATTATTCCAAAATCGGAGGCATCTGGAAAAAAAAATAGTCATGCCACTGGATTCTACTTATGAACCTGCTTGAAGAAAGTAGGTATTTTTGGTTTTTGGATATCTTGATTAATGAAAAAATTAGAAGCTCTTAAAATTGGACAAACTTTGAAAAGTGCCCTGATGTATTTCGTAAACACATCAAGTTAGCTGTGATTTGTCCTCGCCATTGTTATTTTCTCAAAAAAGAGATCTAGGATGTACTCCCACATTTTTGATATCTCTGCTCTGCTGGTTTGATATCTCTGCTCTGCTGGTTTTCGATATAGCCTATTAAAACATGGAAAATGGGTCACCCTGTAGATACCTATCTATAAACTTATGAATGAAAAACTGCAATTAAAATCAAAAAATTTAAAAGATAGTAAAAAAAATCGAATGAATTATGTTCCGCAATCATATTTATAATCCTCAGAAATCACATTCCAATCCCAAAAATCACCTCGCAATCTCAAAAATTAGTTGGCAATCCCCCCTGCAGTCTCTGCAGTCACTGAAATCATCTCGCAGTCACTGAAATCATCTCGCAATCCTCCGAAATCGCAAATTTTTAGAAAAATTCTTCAAACCGCTGCAATCATTTGGAAATCATAGGATTTCCGCAATACATGTACCGTGCATTCAATTTATCTTGATAACATTTTAATTCGCTGTAACATTTTTGTTTTTGAAGGTATCAAGGTAAACAAAAAAACAAAATGTAGGGTTGGTAGCCAAGTTTTTTTTCAAAGTACAGTAGACTCTCGATATAGTGAACTAATTAATGCAAAGCCAGTTCACTAGATCGATTTGTTCACTATATGGAATATTTCTAAAATTTACTAAAACAACGGCTGTTATTACAAAACCAACTTTATTATCAATGAAAAAAACGTTATAAGTATAATGTACTAATTAAAAGGTGGTTTATTCTTTTTTTTTATCGAAAAACGATGTAATTTTTGTTTGTGTTTTTGGTTTCATGAACCCTTTTTGGACCATTTCATTTCTTAAGTTTTGTAAAACGAGTAAACTGGAGTATTCTACTTCATTTTCTTCAGCCCATTGAATTACGTTGTTAATTGACTTCATCGCAATTTCAGTTGTCACACGTTCTCTCATTACCTGAACTTCGTCCCGTTCTTGATCTTGACCATTTTCATCGCTTTCGCTGTGGTCTTTATTTTCTTTATCCGGCAAAATATCGTTATTCCAGTCGTCTACATCCATGGTGCGAATGTTCACTTCGGGATTGACAGCTTGCAGTAAATCGACAATTTCTGATCTTACTCTATTGATTTCCCCATTCATTATTTGAGTTCGTAGAACACTTAAAGGAATTTCATCCTCATCATCATCATCTTCGTTGGCTAACGGCGAAAGTAGATTGTGCCAACATTTTTCTATGACTTCAGGCTTTAAATTTTCCCATGCTAGGGCCAAATGTACAACAGCGTCTTTTAAAGAAAGAGATTTCAGAGTTTCTCCTATATCCTGATCGGTACCAATAATCTGCGACAACAAATTTTTGCGATAAAAAAGTTTTGTTAAACGAATCGCATTTTGGTCCATCGGTTGTATCAATGGAGTAACGTTAGGTGGCATGTAAAGAGTAAAAATGGAACCATCATCACTTCTTAGTTCTTCAGGGGGTGGATGACTTGATGCGTTGTCTAACAAAAGGACGGCTTTAACTGGCAGATTTTGTCTACGTAGGAACTTTGTCACCTGAAACAAGTTAAAACAAAACCTTAAATCACAAGCAGGAACAGCAAGAAAGGGAAATATGTAATCGCGTCAAAAACAAATTTATAGGATTCGAAATTACACAGATGATGTCGTTTTGTTCGTAAAAATGGTAGAATTTAAAATGTTTTCCTATTGCGAATGGCGAAACTTACCTCTGGAATAAACATCTTGTGAAACCATTCTCCAAAAATTGTTGCTGTCATCCAAGCAGCTTTGGAATTTCGATAATGAACAGGTATGTTGAAATTTCGAAATGATCGAGGATTTTTGGACTTTCCAATCACTAGTGGTTTTAATTTGTGCGTACCTGCCGCGTTTGTGCATGCTAGAAAGGTCACTCTTTGTTTTTCGGTTTTTCGTCCTGGAGCTGTTTTCTCCTCGCGAGCTACATATGTTTTTCCAGGAAGAAGCTTCCAATATAGGCCAGTTTCGTCGGCGTTGTAAATCTGATCTTTCGACAGTTGAAGATCTTTAATTTTTGCTTCTAGATTTCTTTTGAAAGGCTCAACAAGCTCAGGCTGTGATGATAATTTTTCGCCTGAAATCTTTAAGTAACGTATTCCAAATCGCCGTTTATATTTTTGCAACCAGCCGCTGCTTGCATGGAAAGAAGGAGATTCTTTGTAATCATTGTGGAGCAGCTTAGCCTTCTCTTGGATCATTAAACCGGTCACGGGAAGATTCTTCTCTCTTTGTTTGAGAAACCACCTATACAGAGCCTTTTCCATTCGTGGACACTCTGAGTGTCTTAAGGTTTTCATTTTTCCTGGTCCGCTAAAAGTATTGTTGACCCTTTTCAAAATGTTAACCCTTCTGTTTCGAATAGCGCATATAGTTGATTTAGCAACACCATATTCTTTGGATAAAACAGTCACTCCGACACCTTTCTTTAAGTCTTCTAATATTTTGGCTTTATCATTTAGGCTTAAATGTTTTCTATTTTTTGCCATATTTCACTCGCGAAACGACCTGATGCAATCACAATTCGCAAGAAACTGCTGTGATCCGATTACAGAAAAGTAAACAAAACGTTTAAAATCGTTTTCCTGTATCGACGTGTTGGGTTCATTATTTCGAGAACCACTTTGTTCACTGTACAGAATGCATTAACAAAAAATTGCCTGTTCACTATTTAGAGTTTCACTATACAGCATGTTCACTATATCGCGAGTCTACTGTACCTATAAACAAAACACTATCAATTTTATGACATATGAGCCTACATTATATTTTTTCAAATGGAACACCCTGTATATTATATATGCGTTTGATAGAATATCTTATTTCGATTACAATGATATAACACACTCTATATTTTAGTCCACTCGTTTTTGACAAATCGGCAAAAATATGAAATTTTTATATGCACTATCAATGATTCTCCCCCCAAATATCAGATCGCCGCCTAATAAGTTTCACTTCAAAAGTTTCATATATTTTTGCCGATTTGTCAAAAACGAGTGGACAGTGGACTAAAATATGGAGTGTATTATATCATCGTAATCGGAATAAGATATTCTATCAAACACAAATATAATATACAGGGTGTTCCATTTAAAAAAATATAATGTTGGCTCATATGTCAAAAAATTGATAGTGTTTTGTTTTATAGGTAACTTGAAAAAAAACTTGGGTACTAACCCTACATTTTGTTTTTTTGTTTACCTTGATACTTTCAAAAACAAAAAAGTTACAGCGAATTAAAATGTTATCAAGATAAATTGAACGCACGGTACATATTTTTCGGGAGTGGTCGCCTCCTCGGATTTCAATTTAGATCAACCGTTTTTCAGTTGAGAAGCTTCAAAATAGGAATTATCGAACATTGAAAATTTTCTTTCCAAAAATTACACTGATACAGTGTTTGCCTCACAGCACCTTTAATTTTCATTCGATTTCCACACAATTAGGCTCCAATTAATGCTAATTAAATTCTCTACAAACCTGTTAATTAGGAATTAAAATTGAAATTATCCAACATTGAAAACCTTCCAAAAATGACACTGACAGTTTTTGCCTCACAACTCCTTTAACTTCCATCCAATTTTAATGCAATAAGGCTCTAATTAAAGCCAATTAATTTATCTACAAGCCATTGATTAAAATTACAATTTAGTTTCAACAGTTTTGCACCTGAGTAACTTCAAAATTGAATTTATCAAACATTGAAAATTTTCCAAAAATGACACTGAGACAGTTTTTGGCTCATAACTCTGATAATTTTTATCCGATTTCCATGTAATTTAACTCAAATTGAAGCCAATTAAATTCTCTACAAATCTGTTAATTAATATTTCAATTAAGTTTGATAATTTCAATCAGAAAAATCCCCAAAAACCCGGATTTTTGCCAACCTTGTATTTTTCAGTATAATTAGTGATGTGAGTCGAGAATAATCCCATGCGAATATTTGCGAACATTGGGAAATTTCCGAGAATATTCGCCGATAAAAAATGGAAATGTTCTTTTGAATGAGAATATTCCCGGAAACTTTCAATCGAAAATTCTCAAAAGAATATTTCCGAGAACATTTCCAGAAGAATGTTATAAAAATCCAAGATTATTGCAAATACAAGGTCTCAGTGACGTCATTTCAATTTATGTGGATGACGTAGACTAGTCCAACTGTCTTTACGGAAACGCTGATCTGATTTACCCGATCACCAACTGATGTACCTCCTACAGTTTGTCTTTTTTTAAAATAATCTTCATTGAAGAAAGATAAAAAAATAAAGAGCGATTTAGCTATAATTTAAAAAAAAAAAAAAACAATATTTCTATAAGTTCCCGAAAGTTTCCAATATTCCCGGAAAGTTTCCGAGAATGTTCGCGGCTTTTGAATGTTTCGGGAATTTTACATCACTAAGTATAATAATGAAAATATCTGTATCCAAAAAAGAACATCTTAGCAAAAAATTATTGTGTTAATTTCAGATGTCATCACCATTGAAAAAACTGGTGAATTCTTCCGTCTCATCTACGATGTTAAAGGTAGATTCACAATTCATCGTATTACTGCTGAAGAAGCTAAAGTAAGTAACATTTTGAATCCTATTTTTGTAATTGTAAATAATTATTTCTCAATGTAGTGCAAATGATGAAAACCAATATTCAAGGTCACAGAGAATGGTTGAGAACCAAAATTTTCCCATTCTTTTATTTATGAAACCTGTGATTTTTCACTTACTCATCTGATTTTTATTCTATTCAAATGATGCTTTCTATGTTACTGAGCCTTAATTTGATGACTCTAGTACACCACTACCCATATACTGATGAAATATTTTTCAAATATTAACTAAAAATTAATCAAATTACCTCAAATGTACATGCTTGTTTTAATTGATTTTAGTACAAACTGTGTAAAGTACGTAGAGTACAAACTGGACCAAAAGGAATCCCATTTTTGGTCACACATGATGGAAGGACCATCCGTTATCCTGACCCAATGATTAAGGTAATTATAATGAATTTATTGTGTGTTTGTAAATTATACAAAAATTCTTTTTAGGTAAATGACACTATCCAATTGGAAATTGCCACTTCCAAAATCCTAGACTTCATCAAATTTGAGTCTGGCAACTTGTGCATGATCACCGGAGGTAGAAATTTGGGACGTGTTGGTACTGTGGTCAACCGTGAAAGGCATCCAGGATCTTTTGATATTGTTCACATCAAGGACGCAAATGAACACGTATTTGCAACCAGGTAACTGGTTTTTTTTTAATTGTAATTGCCCTTTCGAAGCTGTGTAATTGTTCCTTATTGACATTACACGGTCAAAAAGTGAGGCAAAAATTAAAATTTCTGCTTTTGGTCACTGGATTACTTTTTTGCAATAGTAAATTCAGTATTACCCAAGTAGAAGACATTATTTGATTGAATATTTTTCAGGTTGTTTATTGATTTGGGTTTATTTTTTTTAGGTTGAACAATGTTTTCATTATTGGTAAGGGTAGCAAAGGCTTCGTATCCCTGCCAAGAGGCAAGGGAGTCAAATTGTCCATTGCTGAAGAGAGGGACAAGAGGTTAGCTACCAAGCATTAAACAGCGTTAATTTTTAATTAATTAAAAAAATTGAAAAACAATACAAGATTGTGTTTTATTTTTTCCTGCAGTTTAGGAGAGATGCAACATAATTTTTCTAATGGAGCTCATTTTCAATGTCAAAAATCCTTTTCCCTGTTGCCATTTGGTTGTCTGAGGTTGAGATGCATCAATCGTTTTTTAGCGGAATAGAGCATAAAAGTAAATCGGTTTGAAAACATTTATTTGCAAGCAAAATGTAATCGCTGCATCTGGCATCCAGATTGTTCACACCCGCTACCAGAATAACATAATCAGCATTTGTCAATAAATCTTTAACATAGCAATCGGCACCAGCAACAACATCCGTTAATCTTGCAAATAGCTTAGAAACTATCTGAATTACAAACGAATTTCCCAAAATTTTGTTCAAGTATTCCCACAAATGTTTACCAAAATTATCTGTCAAAACAACTATCTTATTTTTCTTTATACTAGGCAAACTACTATTTTTATTTTCTACCACAACCATCTTATTTTTCTTATTACTAGGACCGCTATTGTTCTGATTTTCCACTATAAATATCTCATCTTTCTTACTACTAGAACCACTATTATTCCTATTTAATAATAATAGTACATATATATATTATTCTCTACCATGTGCCCTCTTTTTCTTTTTCTTTTCTTTCCTTCTTTTCTCTATTTTTCCACCTCCTTCTCTTTCTTCGTCTTACAGTTTAAGTATCAAGTGCGTTACTTGATTTTCATATTCATAGATCTTAGATAAGCCTTTCTTTATATTTTATTTTAAGCAATTTTTTGGGGCCTCAACAGCACTCATGCTTGCATGGGATGCTGCAAATATGGCCTATTATTTCCCACATTTATCTTAGTTAACTGTTTGGAATGTAATTTTTCTGGAGATAATAAATATTATTATTATTATTATTATTTTCAACATCTACAGAGTTCTGCAACTCTTTTTTTCCAATCCTCTCTATTGATTGCATTTTGATCTTCCACTTCTTTCCTCTTTATTTCAATACCTTCTTCATAGCTCCTTAACTTTATCTCATGTTCATTACAATTTAATTTTAATCTATGTATTTGCCCTTTTATACTCTCGATGGTTTTATTTTTATCCACAATTTCTTTGCTTAAGCGATCAGCCTCTTCCTCTCTGTTTACACTTAGCACATCGTTGAGTTCATCTGTCTCCACTTGAATTTCCCTATTCTTCATGATTTCTTCCTTGTTTCTGGCGTCCTTTTGCATGTCGTGATTTTTTCTTTACAAGTTCTTCATATCTTGGCTGTTCCGTCTTTTGACAAACCAGTTCCTTTTCCATCTTCTCGATTATTTTAGTAAGTTCTTCGGAATTTTGTTGTTCAGATTTAAGATCTTGTCTTATTACTCTTATTTGCTGTAACTCGGCCTCTAAGTCATTAATAATATTGTTTTGTTGTTTTAGTTTTTCCTCCATGGACTCTTCTACTGCGAATATGTTTTCCTCAAAATCAATAATCTTTCTCCTTGATAATCTTTTCTTTGCCTTCAATGACCTGCATTAATTCATCGATCCTTTTTCCTTTGGTTACTTTTGTCTCTTCATTGTCATTTTCCATTGAACTCGAAAGCTCGTTCAATTGCTTATTTTCCCGGAATAAATCATCTGTTCTTTCCTGACTCATGCACATGTTTCTGAATGTTTTTTTTACATTCATTGCAATAAAGAAGCAAACTTCTCTCTGTCAAAGCAAGAGTGTGAGCTTCAGTGGTTTTTAATTCGGAACAAGTTTTACAAAATATTAATTTGCATGAATCACAGGGCGATCCAAATAGCTCATCTTCATTTGGACATGCCTTAAAAATACACTTTTTGAAACATTCGAGTGCAACTGAGGTCTCCCATATTTCTTAAGCACCGAGTTAGGCGTTGCTAAAACTCCATATTATTACATTATTCAGTCCCAATTTTGTGCTCTTTGAAAGGAAACAAACCAAATTCTTTAAATTCCTTAAGTAGAATTGGTACTGATAAGGATTTGCCCACAGTGTTTCTTATGTAGACAATAAACACAATGATTTTGTGGTTTTTCCAAATCAAAATAGAGTTTTTACTTACATTTTTCTACATACAATGACATTAACACATTTTTTTTTTTTTGTGTCGATATTTGAATATATCTATGATCCGAGAGACTTGGTTCATCATCTACTATCCAGTAACATATTTGAGAGCTTATTCCGAGAGACGCCAGAGTTACATGAATACATTCTTGCCTATTTTTTTGTTTTTTTTTTAAAAAAAGTAGGTTTAGTTCCCCGATTCAGAATGTCTAGATTGAAATTTTGGAAAATGAACTGCTCTTCTTTTTTTACCCCAAAAGTTTTAAAAATTTTCCCTTGACAGTTTTTCAAAAAATCACCAAAGTGTCCAAGGGTGCATTTGGCTTAAAAAGTTGATTTTAGAGAATTTCTCATGCTGTCGTTTTTTTACTGAATCGATTCGAAATTTCAGCAAAATGAACCCCTTTTCTTTCTCTTTTCACCGCAAAAGTTTCAAAAATTTTCCCTTGTCAGTTTTTCAAAAAAGTGCCCAAGGGTGCATTTTGCCTAAATTTATTCAAAAATGCTCTTGATTACGATTTTGTAGACAAAATGAAGGAAAAAAATGTTACTCAGTTCTCGACATTCTCAGATAAAATACTAAAAAGCTTTGATAATATCTATTATCATATTTATTAGAAATGAAAAGTACATTATCACTCAACCATCTTAATACAAATCAATATAGTAACTAAAAGTATGAATGTTAATCTTTGCTCAGCGTGAGCAAAAATAAAGAAAAACTTAATCAATAATCTTGAGAAGGTTAATAATAATAGTAATAGTAACAAAACAATCTTTCGCTAATCAAAACCAACTTTTGAATGACACTAATAAACAGCAGGTGCAAAAAAAAAAATCTTAAAACTAAAAATTTTGTGCTCAATATAAATGCATCATTTATTTTTGAATGGAAACTTAACAAAAAACATTATTTACACATTTTGTGCTAAATAATCAAAAAAACCGAAAATAATAATTGTTAGTCTAATATCACTTTATATAATTTTTGAAAATTTATTTCCTTTTTATTAAATATCCTACACACAAGGGAACATTTTTTTTTTTGTTTAAGGCTACATAAGAGTTTATAGTCTAATATATAATTTTTTTTCTATTTCAATTATTATTATTTTTATGTATAATATACATTATTCAAAGCTAAAGCCATTTATTGCTTAAAAACTAATAGCGTAAATATATAGTGCAAATACATAAGACCCAATTTCAATAAATAGATCTATATGTAATTGAACCTAATATTCAAAGTTTTATGTAAAGTTTAGTGTTGGTTAATGGAAAAAACGACATCGATGAAGAAAAATACACAAAATATTATAATAATAAACGTTAAAAGTTATTATAGATACACACACTTTTCCCTTTAATATCACAAAAAGAGTGTAAACTTGGCATTCAATGCTGCATAACAATTATTAGCATTAAATTTTTGGAAATTTTTTCTAATAAATTCTTCTGGATTCTCTTAAAAAAAAAAATTATAAAAAGAAAGTATTACTGGAAATAAATTGGCCTTTTCAGCAGCAAGTTATATCTCTATATGTTGCAACTGCTGCTAAAAAGTCCAACAAAAAGCACCATCTAAAAGAAGCCAATTAAAAGTACTTTTGGAAACTACTCCAGTTGTTATTTGGGACTAAAAACGTATGTATTTTTTTATAAATAATCCCAATATAAGTATTATTATTAGTAGCAGTCGATAGGCATGGCGAAAAAAAAAGGACCCTACAATAATAAAAAAAAAAAAAAAACAATAAACAAACTCATCAAAAATATAAAATAATCACTCACCTTTCCCAAATACATAATAATTAGTCCTTGCTAACGCTAGTATCCATAGGGCTGGCCGGCTGAACCACAGCGACCACGTTGGGTACCACCACGGGCATGTTGCAAGGCAAAGTTATGCTCGGAGCCGGTACTGCCGGCTTGACAAAACGTTCCGAAGCCCTGCGATGGGGCGGCGCCGGTGGACTGCCCTGAATGCCACCGGCGGGTGGTACCTGGCCGCAAGACGGGCACCTGGGCGGTGGTACCCCTGAAGCTGTAGCTAGTAAAGCGTCGGATAGTCTCGAAGACGAGGTTGCTTGGATTTGGGAAGCCAAACCTGAAAAATTGACGCATTTTAATAGTTTTCTGGAAAACTTTTCGAGGGGAAATTGTGAAACTTTTTAGACAGAAAGAGGAAATTTTACTAAAATTTCTAATTTTTCCAGTGAAAAATAACGCAGAAAATTAATGAAAATCTGAAATTCTGAATTAAGCAAAAATGCAATTTCTTACATTTCAGTATTTTTCTGGAAAACTACTGGAGGAAAAATTATGAAACTTTCAGGATAAAAAGAGGAAAAATGGGAGCTCATTATACGAAGATTTCAAAGTTTTCCAGTGAAAAAACAACACCATGGGAAATTAATGAAAATAGCAAAAATGCAATATTTTAGATTTTAATATTTTTCCAGAAAACTACTAAAGGGAAAATTATGACACTTTTAAGATGAAAAAAAGAAAAGTAGGAGTTCATTATACCAAAATTTCGAAGTTTTTCAGTGAAAAACAACACCAAGTAAAATTAATGAAAATCCAAATTAAGCAAAAATGCAATCACTTACATTTTAATATTTTTCCAGAAAACTACTGAAGGGAAAATTATCAAACTTACAGGATAAAAAAAGGAAAATTAGGAGCCCATTTTAAGTAGGAACTCACTATACCAAAATTTCAAAGTTTTCTAGTGGAAAATAACACCATGGGAAATTAATGAAACTCAACTTGCAAGTCCTAAATAGAGCAAAAATGCAATATCTTACATTTTAATATTTTTCCGAGTATTTTTCCAAAGAACTACTGAGGGGAAAATTATGAAACTTTTAGGATGAAAACAGGAAAAGTAAAAGCTTATGAAACCCAAATTTCAAAGTTTTCCAGAGAAAAACACCATAGGAAATTAATGAAAATCAACTTGCAAAATCCAAATTAAGCAAAAATGCAATATCATACATTTTATTATTTTTCTAGAAAACTACTGAAGGGAAAATTATGAACTTTCCAAGATCAAAAAAGAAAAAGTAGGAGCTCATTATATCAAAATTTTAAAGTTTCCCAGTGAAAAACAAGACCATGGGAAATTAATAAATATCGACTTGCAAAAATCCAAATTAAGCAAAAATGCAATCTTGTCTTTTGTACATCTTGTTATTTTTCTGGAAAACTATTAAAGGGAAAATTATGGAATTTTCAGGATAAAAAGAGGGAAAGTAGGAGCTCATTATTCGAAAATTTCAATGTTTTTTAGTAAAAATCAACACCATGGGAAATTAATGAAAATCAACTTGCAAAATCTGAATTAAGCAAAAATGCCGAGAAAAATGCAATCTCTTACATTTTAATATTTTTCTAGAAAACTACTGGAGGGAAAATTATGAAACTTTCAGGAAAATATAAGAAAAGTGGGAGCTCATTATACCAAAATTTCAAAGTTTTCCAGTGAAAAACAAGACCATGGGAAATTTATGAATATCAACTTGCAAAATCCAAATTAAACAAAAATGCAATCTTGTACATCTTGTAATTTTTCTGGAAAACTACTAAAGGAAAAATTATGGAATTTTCAGGATAAAAAGAGGGAAAGTAGGAGCTCATTATTCGAAAATTTCAATGTTTTCTAGTAAAAATCAACACCATGGGAAATTATTGAAAATCCAGTTGCAAAATCCAAATTAAGCAAAAATGCAATCTCTTACATTTTAATATTTTTCCAGAAAACTACTGAAGGGAAAATTATGAAACCTACAGGATAGAAAGAGGAAAATTAGTAGCTCATTTTACCAGAATTACAAAGTTTCCCAGGGAAAAACAACACCATGGGAAATTAATGAAAATCAACTTGCAAAATCCAAATTAAGCAAAAATGTAGTTTCTTATATTTCAATATTTTCCCAGAAAACTACTGAGGGAAAAATTATGAAACTTTCACGATAAAAAGAGGAAAAGTAGGAGCTCATGATACCCAAATTTCAAAGTGAAAAACAACACCATGGGAAATTAGGTAATGAAAATCAACTTGCAAAATTCAAACTTAGCAAAAATGCAATCTTTTACATTTTAATATTTTTCCATTAAACTACTGAGGGAAAAATTATGAAACTTTCAGGATCAATACAGGAAAAGCAAGAGCTCATGATACCAGAACCTCAAAGTTTTCCAGTGAAAAACAACACCATGGGAAATTAATGAAAATCAACTTGCAAAATCCAAATTGCAAAAATGCAATCTTGTACATCTTGTTATTTTTCTGGAAAACTACTAAAGGGAAAATTATGGAATATTTAGGATAAAAAGAGGAAAAGTAGGAGCTCATTATTCCAAAATTTCAAAGTTTCCCAGTAAAAAACAACATCATGGGAAATTAATGAAAACCAACTTGCAAAACCTAAATTGAGCAAAAATGCAATACTTTACATTTTAATATTTTTCTGGAAAACTACTAGAGGGAAAATTATGAAATTTTCAGGATCAAAAGAGAAAAAGTAGGAGCTCATTATATCAAAATTTTAGAGTTTTCCAGTGAAAAACAAGACCATGGGAAATTTATGAATATGAACTTGCAAAATGCAATCTTGTACATCTTGTTATTTTTCTGGAAAACTACTAAAGGAAAAATTATGGAATTTTCAGGATAAAAAGAGGGAAAGTAGGAGCTCATTATTTGAAAATTTCAATGTTTTCTAGTAAAAATCAACACCATGGGAAATTATTGAAAATCCAGTTGCAAAATCCAAATTAAGCAAAAATGCAATCTCTTACATTTTAATATTTTTCCAGAAAACTACTGAAGGAAAAATTATGAAACCTACAGGATAGAAAGAGGAAAATTAGGAGCTCATTTTACCAGAATTTCACAGTTTTCCAGTGAAAAACAACACTATGGGAAATTAATGAAAATCAACTTGCAAAATCCAAATTAAGCAAAAATGTAGTTTTTTATATTTCAATCTTTTCCCAGAAAACTACTGAGGGGAAAATTATGAAACTTTCACAATAAAAACAGGAAAAGTAGAAGCTCATAATACCCAAATTTCAAAGTTTTCTAGTGAAAAACAACACCATAGGAAATTAATGAAAATCCAAATTAAGCAAAAATGCAATATCATACATTTTAATATTTTTCTGGAAAACTACTGGAGGGAAAATTATGAAACTTTCAGGATAGAAAGAGGAAAATTAGGAGTTCATTTTACTAAAATTTAAATTTTTCCTAGTGAAAAACAACATCATGGGAAATTATTGAAAATTAACTTGCAAAACCTAAATTGAGCAAAACTGCAATCTCTTACATTTAAATATTTTTCCAGAAAACTGCTGAAGGAAAAATTATGAAACTTCAGGATAGAAAGAGAAAAATTAGGAGCTCATTTTACTAGAATTTCAAAGGTTCCCAGCAGAAAATAACACCATGGGAAATTAATGAAAATCAACTTGCAAAATCCAAATTGCAAAAATGCAATCTTGTACATTTTGTTATTTTTCTGGAAACCTACTAAAGGGAAAATTATGGAATTTTTAGGATAAAAAGAGGAAAAGTAGGAGCTCATAGTTCCACAATTTCAGAGTTTTCCAGTAAAAAACAACATCATGGGAAATTAATAAAAACCAACTTGCAAAACCTAAATTGAGCAAAAATGCAATCTCTTACATGTAAATATTTTTCTGGAAAACTACTGGAGGGAAAATAATGAAACTTTCAAGATAAAAAGAGGAAAAGTAGGACCTCATTTCACCAAAATTTCAAAGTTTTCCAGTGAAAAACAACACCATGGGAAATTAATGAAAATCAACTTGCAAAATCCAAATTAAGCAAAAATGCAATCTCTTACATTTTAATATTTTTCCATAAAAGTACTGAGGGGAAATTATGAAACTTTCAAGATAAAGACAGGAGAAGTAGAAGCTTGATAGCATGATTTCAAAGTTATCCAGTGAAAAACAACACCATGGGAAATTAATGAAAATCAACTTGCAAAATCCAAATTAACTAAAAATGCAATATTATCATACATTTTAATATTTTTCTAAAAAACTACTGGGGGGAAAATTATGAAATTTTCAGGATAAAAAGAGAAAAAGTAGGAGCTCATTATATCAAAATTTTTAAGTTTTCCAGTGAAAAACAATACCATGGAAAATTAATGAAAATCCACTTGCAAAATCTGAATTAAGCAAAAATGCCGAGAAAAATGCAATCTCTTACATTTTAATATTTTTCTAGAAAACTACTGGAGGGAAAATTATGAAACTTTCAGGAAAAAAATAAGAAAAGTGGGAGCTCATTATACCAAAATTTCAAAGTTTTCCAGTGAAAAACAAGACCATGGGAAATTTATGAATATCAACTTGCAAAGTCCAAATTAAGCAAAAATGCAATCTTGTACATCTTGTTATTTTTCTGGAAAACTACTAAAGGAAAAATTATGGAATTTTCAGGATAAAAAGAGGGAAAGTAGGAGCTCATTATTCGAAAATTTCAATGTTTTCTAGTAAAAATCAACACCATTGGAAATTATTGAAAATCAAGTTGCAAAATCCAAATTAAGCAAAAATGCGATTTCTTGCATTTTAATATTTTTCCAGAAAACTACTGAAGGGAAAATTATGAAACCTACAGGATAGAAAGAGGAAAATTAGGAGCTCATTTTACCAGAATTTCAAAGTTTCCCAGGGAAAAACAACACCATGGGAAATTAATGAAAATCAACTTGCAAAATCCAAATTAAGCAAAAATGTAGTTTCTTATATTTCAATATTTTCCCAGAAAACTACTGAGGGAAAAATTATGAAACTTTCACGATAAAAAGAGGAAAAGTAGGAGCTCATGATACCCAAATTTCAAAGTTTTCCAGTGAAAAACAACACCATGGGAAATTAGGTAATGAAAATCAACTTGCAAAATTCAAACTTAGCAAAAATGCAATCTTTTACATTTTAATATTTTTCCATTAAACTACTGAGGGAAAAATTATGAAACTTTCAGGATCAATACAGGAAAAGGAGGAGCTCATGATACCAGAACATCAAAGTTTTCCAGTGAAAAACAACACCATGGGAAATTAATGAAAATCAACTTGCAAAATCCAAATTGCAAAAATGCAATCTTGTACATCTTGTTATTTTTCTGGAAAACTACTAAAGGGAAAATTATGGAATATTTAGGATAAAAAGAGGAAAAGTAGGAGCTCATTATTCCAAAATTTCAAAGTTTCCCAGTAAAAAACAACATCATGGGAAATTAATGAAAACCAACTTGCAAAACCTAAATTGAGCAAAAATGCAATACTTTACATTTTAATATTTTTCTGGAAAACTACTAGAGGGAAAATTATGAAATTTTCAGGATCAAAAGAGAAAAAGTAGGAGCTCATTATATCAAAATTTTAGAGTTTTCCAGTGAAAAACATGACCATGGGAAATTTATGAATATCAACTTGCAAAATCCAAATTAAGCAAAAATGCAATCTTGTACATCTTGTTATTTTTCTGGAAAACTACTAAAGGAAAAATTATGGAATTTTCAGGATAAAAAGAGGGAAAGTAGGAGCTCATTATTCGAAAATTTCGATGTTTTCTAGTAAAAATCAACACCATGGGAAATTATTGAAAATCCAGTTGCAAAATCCAAATTAAGCAAAAATGCAATCTCTTACATTTTAATATTTTTCCAGAAAACTACTGAAGGAAAAATTATGAAACCTACAGGATAGAAAGAGGAAAATTAGGAGCTCATTTTACCAGAATTTCAAAGTTTTCCAGTGAAAAACAACACTATGGGAAATTAATGAAAATCAACTTGCAAAATCCAAATTAAGCAAAAATGTAGTTTTTTATATTTCAATATTTTCCCAGAAAACTACTGAGGGGAAAATTATGAAACTTTCACAATAAAAACAGGAAAAGTAGAAGCTCATAATACCCAAATTTCAAAGTTTTCTAGTGAAAAACAACACCATAGGAAATTAATGAAAATCCAAATTAAGCAAAAATGCAATATCATACATTTTAATATTTTTCTGGAAAACTACTGGAGGGAAAAATTATGAAACTTTCAGGATAGAAAGAGGAAAATTAGGAGTTCATTTTACTAAAATTTAAATTTTTCCTAGTGAAAAACAACATCATGGGAAATTATTGAAAATTAACTTGCAAAACCTAAATTGAGCAAAACTGCAATATCTTACATTTAAATATTTTTCCAGAAAACTGCTGAAGGAAAAATTATGAAACTTCAGGATAGAAAGAGAAAAATTAGGAGCTCATTTTACTAGAATTTCAAAGGTTCCCAGCAGAAAATAACACCATGGGAAATTAATGAAAATCAACTTGCAAAATCCAAATTGCAAAAATGCAATCTTGTACATTTTGATATTTTTCTGGAAACCTACTAAAGGGAAAATTATGGAATTTTTAGGATAAAAAGAGGAAAAGTAGGAGCTCATAGTTCCACAATTTCAGAGTTTTCCAGTAAAAAACAACATCATGGGAAATTAATAAAAACCAACTTGCAAAACCTAAATTGAGCAAAAATGCAATCTCTTACATGTAAATATTTTTCTGGAAAACTACTGGAGGGAAAATAATGAAACTTTCAAGATAAAAAGAGGAAAAGTAGGACCTCATTTCACCAAAATTTCAAAGTTTTCCAGTGAAAAACAACACCATGGGAAATTAATGAAAATCAACTTGCAATATAATTATTTTCTTATTGTCACACATACTTATTTACCTTCAAAATATATGAATCTTTTGGATAAGCCACCCTGTATACTGAGCATGTATGGAATTTTTTTCAAGTCGTAACATTAATAAAACCACGAAAACCCATTCAATTTAATGGTTCCAGTAAAACAATGAAATCTATTTCAAGGCGAGCAATAAAACTTGGCACCAAATCGTGTTACATATCGCAACAAAACAATAGTCGTTAAAATTAACAATTTTCTGCCTCCGTGCCAATGCAATTTAGATTTTATTTATAGCCAATTTTACAACTTAAAATGCATTTACCTGGACTCAAAGGTCGACTTTGACTGGGCGACGGATTATAAGGTATAGGAGATGCAGTGTGCTGCCGCACCCCGAGCACTTGTTCGTTGTAGTGACGTTCTTCTTCCATTTCCAATGAGCTTTCGCTTTCAGACAAATGTCTACACAGTGCCTCTCTACGTTCGACTTCTAGCTGTAGTTTTCTTTGCAGCCTAAATCAAAAACTTTAAAGCATTAATTAATTAATAAATGAATTATCACCTGAGATTCTCCTCTTTAATATTCCGTTCTTCCTGAACATAGCGCTGCATTTTCTGAGTGTGCTCCTGCTGGCTGATGGCCAAAGTTTGTCGCAATCGCACCACTTCTTGCCTCAAAGTCTGAATGTGAGCACTCAGATTTGTAGCAGTATCGCCGTTGCTGATATCTCTGGGGCTTGCCGGATCAGAAACGGGTTGATCCAGCTTGATTTGCAACATGCGCTTTTCAGCTTCAAGCTTGTCCATGCGTTTCCATAGCTTGTTAACCAATGCCTCTTGTTCTTGTTCCAGAGTGTTTTCTAATTCCACCTTCTCTCGTCTTAGTTGTTCTAAATTACTTTGTTTGGCCAAAGTTTCAGCTTCCAATTTCTCAATTTTTCTCATCAATCTATTGACCAAACATTCTTGTTCTTGCTCAAGTGTTTGCTCCAAACTTGAAAACAATTATAAGTGCAATTAAACAAAAATAAACCGTGAAAAAAAAAATCCTTACCGACATTTTTCTTGTCTCAGCTGAGTCAATTTCCTAGACAAATCATTAGTAAGACACTCTTCCTCTCTCTCATAATGATGAGCCAAAGACTCTTTCTCCTTTTTCAAAGCCTGAATTTTTTTCAGCAAAGTATTCGAAATATATTCCTCCTCTTGCTCGGCCTTGGCTTGAATTATGACAGAGGCTTTTCGCAAATCTCTGTTTTCCTCTTGCAAAGCCTTGACTCGCAATTTGTAAGTTTCCACTTCGACTTTGAGCACCCTGTTTTGTTGCTGCAAACTTTCGATGCGTTTTTGTAGTTGCTCTCGGGTGACTGGGCTGGGGGGCATCATGATCGGTCCACCGTCGATGCTGCTGGAATCCGATTCGCTCGCCGAGTCTGCCATTGTGGTATACAGGGTGGTTATTTGTTGGGGAATTCTAGAAAAAAACAATTTTGCCTTCAAGATTTTGTGTTTAGATAATCATTTGGGGGTCCTCAAATATGTCTCAAAAATATTCCCTCAAAATCTCATGTATGCGCCTCTAGTAGCTTTTGAGTAAATGGTAAAAATGTGTAGGTATGTCATATTTAGTCTTTATAGAAGAAAATGTTCCTTGTTACTTTGTAATTTTCTGTCCAGTTGATTTGAATTTTTAGTGTGTTTTGTTTCCTAGCCTCAAAAATACTCATTTAAAATCGCACGTTTAGGCCTCAAGTAGTTTTTGGGTAAAAGGTCAAAATGTGTAGGCATGTCATATTTAGTCTTATAGAAGAAAATGTTAGTTTTTAAAAATCTTGTAACTTTGTAATTTTTTTGTTCAATTGCTTTAAATTTTTAATATGTTTTGCCTTCAAGTGTCAAAAATATTCCCTCAAAATCTCATGTTTGCGCCTCGAGCAGTTTTTGAGTCTATGGTCTAAATGTGGAGGCAAGTCATATTTAGCTTTACAGGAAAAAATTTCCATTTTTAAAAATTTTGTAACTTTCCAATTTTTTGTTTAGTTGATTTGAATTTTTAGTATGTTTTGCCTTCAAGCCTCAAAAATATCACCTGAACATCTCATATTTGCGCCTCAAATACACACATCAACAAAATTAGGGGAACGGACAAAATTTACATTAAGTTTGACATCAGTTTTCTCTTGAACCCTTTGCTCGATTTTGATGAATTTTTTATAGATTGTAGCTTGATTTTTCAGGAATACATCTGCCGTATTACCGTTATTAAATGATTCGTTCTTTATATCATATACAGGGATAGAAAAAAAGTAAGTTTTCAGAGGTTTTTGAGACACACTGTGGAGGGAACCGCTGGAAGTTTAGAACAGTCTTCAACACCAAATTATAGCCTGATCTTTTCCGAACATTTTCATTTTCTATTCACTCTGATATTTTCAATATTAAGTATTGAACTCGGTATTGAAACTATAGAGTTTCGAAGAAAAGGTGGATATTGACCTTAATTTTCTCCATGTCGACATACGAATTGGATATGAAAATGTGTCGTTTTCCAACTTCAAGTCATGTGTGTAAATGTTTACTTCAAGTTAAATACTGCTCGCAGTTTACCTCAATTTATTGTGAAAAGAATGCGCACAAATAAATATACAGGTGGATCAGAAATTCCCTTCCATGATTTCCATTTGGTGGAATGTTATTTATCTAAACTAAACTCTCTAAACTCTCCCTTCATACTTAACTAAGGCTTAGGAGTTCTCCAATTTATCTTTCAACAGACCTTGCCACATCGGTAGGATATTGACGAATTCAATCCTATTTGAACAGGAAAAATTACGTTTACGAATACAATTTTGTTTCTGTTGTTGGTAAATGTCAAATTAAGGTCAACCTGGTTAACTGGAACAGCGAGGTAACTGGGCCATATGCCAGTTTTTGACTTATTGTTCAATTTTGAATTTCCCACGAATAAAAATTCGTTGCAAGTGTGTCTCGTTTATATCCTGCAGGTAGTAGAAAGAACGACGCCGGATTAGTTTCTGAGAAAAAAATTGAAATTTGTTATTTATTTTTACAAAGTGCGAGGGGCGACTCACTCAGCACAATTTGTACATCGATTTCGGACATCGCAGGGGATTTCGACAACTTTTAAGGGATTTCCACCACTGAGAAGTTCGACGATTTCGATAAATCTATCGGGATTTCGGAATTTTGTAAGGATTTTAGATCAGGTTTCTGCATTTCGGGATTTCCAAAGGATTTTGAAAGAACTTCACGTGATTCCGGATGAAAATGTACAGCGATTTTGCCGCAGCTCGACAAAATGTATCATAACAAGTGATGACAGAAGTTTAGATTTTAATCAAGAATTAGTGATTACAGATTACAGTGAATAACATTGCTTCGGGTTCCAGTTGCCTTGGTAAAAATACGTACAGAGGCAACTAGAATGGATATGATGTGGCCAGAATGACATAATGTTCCACCTGAAATCGCCATTATATTGTACATTTTCTTGTTTATTCTAAGTAGAGCTAATATGCAAAGTACACCAAGTTGGTCCAGAAAAAAAACCAATTGAACATGTCCAGAACAATATATGGTGCTGCCGTTTTCTATGACATCCCAAGATAAGACTCATTGAATTTGGAACAATAAAGAAAGATATATTGTCGGTAGCAGGATAACATGGTAAAGGAATACTTATATGAATGAAGTAGAAGAAGAAAGAATAACTGTCAACTGTGCTGAACACCTAGCAGAAATGGAGATATGGATTATTTACAAAGAAAATAGGTTTCTTATTTTATTTTTTGTCCATTTTACCATTTTTTTTTAAATTATTTTCTCACCATTAAGTAATACTTTTGTTGCCTCCCCCATATTTCCTATAATTCTTGAATAAAAAAAATTAAATTTGGTAGGATCTTTACATATATGTTACATTACAATATGTTCCAGTCACCTCAGAATCATTACTACGTACCTAAATGCATAAGAAAATAGGGGCCACTGTTTGCCTCAAAATTAGGGTAACTGGAACAGTTGACCAAAAAAAATTGGAACACTCAACCAGAAAAAAGTGAAACACTGAACGAGAACCAACCAGAATAAACATGCACGCAATACTTGAAATTTTAATGAAAATTCCCAAAAATACGTCAAAAGTGGGGTTGGAGGTTAAAGAAATTTACAAGTATATTACAAAATATTTCGAAAGATATCGAAAAGAAACTAAAGGGGCAATATGTAGTTGATGTACCAAAAAAGAGGAATCCAAAGTTGAAAATCACAAATATAGAAAAAAAAGCTGATACAAGACCCTGAAGTTTTGATAGAGAGTTTAATGATACAAAATAGAATTTGAAATATTGGTGAAAACAGAACGAAGCTGTTAAGTACCTATGAAGATAAGAAAAGAGGAGAGGTGGCTATACTGGAGGTGGATGGGAAAACTTTTCAAGAGATAAATAGAAAGGAGGTTTTGCATATTGGATGGAGAACGTGTCGTTATTATGAGCATGTAAATATCATACAGTGTTATAAATGTTGGAAATTTGGTCACATGGCTCATGAATGTAGGTTTCAGGAAATATTATGCCCAAAATGCAGCGAAAATCACAAGAAGGAAGAATGCACAAGCGAGGCGGAGGTTTGTAACAACTGCCTGAATGCAAAAGAAGTTTTGAATATGCCAAATATAGATTTTCATCACTCTGCATTCAATAGAAACTGTCCCGCATACAAAAGAGTCTATGAACAGTTGCAAATGAGAATGAGTTACCCTGAAACATTCTGCAAGGTAAACAAATAGCAATTGCAGTGTCAACAGCTGCTGTATCTTAATATCCAAACTTTATTAGCCCATAAAACTGAACTTATTTGGTTACTAAATCCGAGGCTACCTACGGTCATCTGCTTAGTTGAAACTCATATCACATAAGAGTTGAAAGAGGTAGAAACAATTATTGACGGATATAGAGAAGTGCATACATTTTCATCAAGTCGACACACAGGAGGTGCTTCTATATATATTAATACGTTCGCTGCCAGAGAGATTTCGGTTGATCGGGTCCAAAATGCCAATGTTGAAAAACTATATTTTATCATCAGAATAGGTCTAAATAACATAAAATATTCATCCAAAGTAGTACCTGACCCATATTTTTGCAAAAAAATACCATACCATACCATAACAAAGACTACCATGTTTGAATTTTTTTTTGTTTGTTTAATTATGTCTGTGTGAGATTCTTATACATGTCCCGTACGCCAGGCACCCCCATTAGCCTGTATTTACAACTAATATACTCGTACTTGACTATGAACGACACGATGCAAAATACGAGTTATCTCGTAGCTGGTACCTGTAATAAGATTGTCTACTACGAGTTAACTCGTACTTGGCAGTGATCGTGTTAAGGAAGAACTCTAGTACAATATAGTAATAAATGAAATTTTGGAAAAGAATATGTGGCTAATCGGAGTAAATTTGAATATCAAATGTCAAAAATACAATATTCTTAATGTTTACTATTCACCTAGTTCAAGTCACAACGAGTTTCGTGATAAACTGGATAAAATAATTGAAGACTATGCAACCAAACCTGATACATTTCTATTGGTAGGAGACTTCAATATAAACGTTGCAATGAACACATTTTATTCAGATAAACTAAAAACATTAGTTCCAAATCATGTATCAAATGGTTCAAAATTTCACAAGAGTTACTCAGAATAGCTCCACGATAATAGACCTTATTATAACAAATAATAAGACAGTTGAACACAAGGTTCATCACACGCCAAAAGTAGCAGATCATTCGATAATAACCATTGATTTCCCTCATATCAAAACAGTTCTTATCAAAGATATGTATAACTTTAACGAACTGCAACAAGCTCTCATGGATAGCGTATGGCCAGATTCCCCGCAATCCACGAATGACATAGCCAATCACCTTGTTCAGACAATATCTGATAACAATAATAAAAATTGGTGGTCACCAGAAATTAAAGAACAAGTATCACAAAGAGACATATACAAAAAAGCCATAATTACACATCAAAATGAAGACTGGAAATCTTACAAACAACGAAGAAACAAGGTAGTGCAGATAATTAGGACACAGAAGCAGAGATATTACCATGATCAAATTGATGAAGTTAAACACGATGAAAAAGAGATGTGGAGAACGTTGAAAAATCTAATAAGTGGACCCAAAAGTGCTAAAAATAGAGGAGTTATATTCGAGGATCGTATGGAAAGGGAGAATACAGAAATTGCGGAAAAATTCAACAACTATTTCTTAGATAGTATTCGAGTCCTGTCCACAAATACAGAGCAAAAAGTGACAAGTGTGATATTAGATCACATTGTAACTAACACCTGTAAATAAATTTGAACAGTTCAATTTGCTGGAAATAAGAAAATTGAAAAATATAGTGACTCGTATAGTGAATTGAAAAATAAAAAAAGTAGTGTGGATGGTATCAGCGTCAAGATACTGAAGGCAGCATTTGAGTCAATTGGCAATCGGTTTCTCCAGCTTATCAACTCCAGTTTGGCAACAGGTAGTTTTCCCAAAGATTGGAAAATGTCAACTATAGTTCCAATCGAAAAAGTAAGAAACACAAAACAATGCGAGGAATATCGACCTATCAACATGGTGCCAACATAGGAGAAGCTTTTGGAAACAGTTTTAAATAAACAAATGAGGAAGTATATTGAGGACAACAAATTGCTTACCGAATTTCAAGCTGGTTTCAGAAAAACACATTCTTGTGAAAGTGCTCTACAGACTATCATCTCCAGATGGAAGAATGCACTGAATGTGAAGAATGTGGTTGGGGTTGTCTTTTTAGATTTTGGAAGAGCGTTTGAGACTATAAATCTTAGTCTTCTTAACCAAAAGTTGGAAAAAAATGGTTTTCAGGAAACAGTCCTTAAGTGGTTTACAAAATATCTGGACTCTAGAACGCAGGAGACAAAATATCACAATGCCATTTCATCAGTGGAAGTAAACAGGTATGGTGTACCACAGGGAAAAGTTATGGGTCCAGACCTTTTTCTGTTGTACAGGGTGATCCAGTATAAAGTGAACACCCCCTACCTTTTCGCTAAAAATTTTTTTTTTTTGAAAAAACCAAGATAGCCATTTGTTGTATTTTTTTTCTAGGAATTTGAAAACGTTTTTGGAAATTTAATTAGATTTTTCGTTGAAGCGCTGTGATCAAAATAGCTATTTATACAATAAGTTACGAAATGAGCGTCTTTTAGGCACGCGACGTGAAAATTGTCCAACGAGGCAAGGCCGAGTTGGACAACACGTCGAGTGACTAAACGACATCGTTTCGTAACGTATTGTATACAAGATTTTTTCTACTGGCATTTTATAATAAAAAAAGACAATTTTATTTCATGTGAATGAGTCGATTACGCCCAAAATCTTTGTTACCTGCTTTTGCTTGACGCCTGACACTTTTCATGCGATTTTTTTTTCAAGATTCGACATCAATAATTAAAATCCTAGAAAGTAGGTAACAACACAAAGTTCTGTTTTGAGTAATCCAAACGTTCAATTCAATAATTACATTTTTAATATTCATAATAAATACAAAACAAAATTCAAATCTGTATTTAGTGTGTTTTTTATTTCTGATTGATGAATGACACTTTTAGGCACTAGTGCTTAAAAATTACTTTTACGCACTCAAAAGTCACTTTTACGCATTCAAAAGTCACTTTTACGCACTGAGTGCTTAAAAGTAACTTTTACGCACTCAGTGCTTAAAAGAATGTCGTTTTAAAACTAAAATGACAATCGAAAAGTTGCTATTATGAAACGTCAGTAGAAAAAAGTAATTTTTTTAAATGGAATAACCTATATTTGAATCCATTTTTTGAACGATCCTATTTTCCTCTTTTCAAATATATATAGTTTGTTTATCTTTATCTTAGTAATTTGTGATATATTCTCAATCAAGATTCAAATAAAAATAGCCGAAAAGGTATCAAGGTGAATCTAAATAATTTTACCTTTAATAAAACTACTGGTTATTATGTTTTATGATACCTTTTCGGCTATTTTTATGTGAATTTTAAAGTGAGAATATATGGTAAATTACTAAAAAAAAGATAAACAAACTATATATTTGAAATGAGAAAAATAGGGGCGTTTAAATAATTGAATTAAATATAGGTTATTCCATTTAAAAAAATTACTTTTTTGGTCACAACGCTTCAACGAAAAATCTTAATAAATTTCGAAAAATATTTTCGAATTCCTAAAAAAAAGATACACCAAATGGCTATCTTGATTTTTTCAAAAATAATTTTTTTACCGAAAAGGTAGGGGGTGTTCACTTTATACTGGATCACCCTGTACATAAACGATATTGTCAGAGTAGTTAAACATTGTGAATTGCAACTTTTCGCAAATGATACCGTCTTGTTCATGCAAAGTGCCAACAGGGACAACTTAATAAAATAAATTAATGAAGATTTAGGTAGGCTATATAAAGGGCTGTGTGATAATAGTTTAAGTGTTAATATCAAAAAAACTAAGTTTATGTCCGATTAACCAATAAAGTGCTATTTATAGAACAGTTTTGCGTCAATAAAGTAGCACTTTATTGTACTAGTAAAATAAAGTGCTACTTTATTTTACTAGTAAAATAAAGTGCTACTTTATTGCCTACCTGACATGGTGAAACAGGTCCTGACAACCTGCCAAGGTGAAACAGGTCCTGAAAACCTGCAAAGGTGTAATAGGTATACCTACGCGAATTTTACTTTTCATTAATTTTTTTTTTAATTTATAACAAAAACCAGTCGCAATCGTACATAATAGTACATTAAAATACAAGTTTCATAAGACGTGATTTTATCGCACGAGCCCTATATTAGAAAACGAGCCGGAGGCGAGTTTTCTAAAGGGCGAGTGCGATAAAATGTCTTATGAAACGAATATTTTATACTATTTTTTCTATTTAGGTATTGTTTAATTAAAAAAAACAAATTTTCCTTGGAAATTTTATTCTCATATTTCCTGATTTCATGTTAAGGTTGGTAACACTACACGCCAAATATAAAAATCTTCTTTTTTATTTTTATTTTTACCAATAATAAAATCGCAAATGACAGTTCGATGGCCATCAGTCAGCCAGTGTTACCAACTTCCGATAAGTAAAAAAGGAGTGTCACAAAGAGCTTCTTTTCGAAACTACTTTCAGTGTCGAAAAGACTTCGATATGAAACCAAAATAGAAAAAATCATGTATATAACGCTTACATAAACAGGCTTTATTGACTCATTATTTAATATAAACATAAAATTATTCGTACAATAAAGCCTTACTTTATGTACTTGTTATATAAATAGCTATTATGTTATTAAAAAACAAGAATTATAATACAGATATCAACTCTCATAGTAATGTATTCATAAATGGTGTAGAAGTAGACAATTTAAGTATTTAGGAGTAGTTATCGATGAGTTCCTAACATTCTCTAGTCATGCGAGGTATCTGATTAAGAAAGTATCAAAAAAATATATATTTTCTGTGTAGAATAGGTCAACACCTAAGTGATTGAACTAAATTAATTATTTATAAAACAATAATACTACCACACTTCAACTACTGTGCTTCAATTATGTACATGTTTGCCAAGTCTGACTTAGACATACTGCAGAAAAAACAAAACATAGCTTTAAGATGTATTTTAGCATGTAATAGGTACACACTACACAAGAATAAAAGACATACTGAAGTCGACAAATTTTAAATTTATTAAGTGTGAGACAGAATATTTATTTTTGTACCATGATAGTAGTTTCTAAGATAAAAAATGGTCTGTATCCAGAACATATATTACATAAGTTGCAATTTGTCTCTGATATTCATAATTACAATACTAGAAGTAAATTTGATTTTCATGTTCCGACTGTCCAGTCTTCTTTTGCACAGAATAGCATTGTTTCATAAAGGATTAGTAGAGTTTAACAATCTTCCTACTGATATTAAGAATGAAAGTTTCGTTTAAGGTTAGGTTAAGAGAATTTATTGTTGAAAACTAAAGTAGTGTTTAAATACTGAATATTTTGCTAATGTAATAATGTATTTTTTTTTGTTTGTTAGCTGATGCTATTAATAAATGCTATTATTATTAAAGAAAACAATAATTAGTGTATGCTTTATTAACTAGGTACCTCAAAATTGTTTGAAGACCACGGAACATATGTCGTATGTGGCATTCTAAATAATAGAGATTATACCAAACAAAAAACTCGCAAGGTATGTTGACTGGTGGAGTTAACATTTCAAACTGAACACAAATCCAGAGTCAAATGATGTTAACGGTACTTAAAATTGTTTGCCTCAAGGGGAGTTATGGACCTAACGTAGTTTCAAATGAGCTATTTTGTCTATTCCACAAGATACGCCAAAATTGAAAATACCAAACGATGCGCCTAAAAATTTTGAGTCATTTAACATATTAAGCTAAAATTTGGCCAATTTGGACTTAACATAGTCTGGCTCTGGGGTACAGATTTTTGAAATGTTATTGAGAAAATCTCATTTGTAATTCAAAAAATCCCAACTGAAACTCAGAAAATTTATTGTTTATGCCGAATTAAGTATAACTTTCATCTGAATTACATCATTTTGATGTTATCTGATTTACAATTGGAATTTTCTGAATTAGGTACAGGGTATCAAGTTTTAAAGTACCACCCCCTGTAACTTTTTTTATTTTTGATCCTAGGTACATAAAAAAGTTACTAAGGGTGGTATTTGGTACTTTATAACTTGACACCCTGTACATTCAAAAAATCCTCGGAAAAATCTTAATTAGAGTTGAGGTTTTCTGAAATACAATTGGAAACATGTAGATGACTAGAAATGTTGTCTATTTCCTATATTTTGAATTTTTTGGTAGAAACCTAGAAAATATATCCTATTTGGAAAGTAAAAACACAATTCTCCAGTATGCCTTACCAATAATTTTATACTCTGCAATAACACTAAAAACTATAATATTATAATTCGCCTATTGTTCTTACAATTTGTTACAAAGTAAATCCATGCTTATCTACGCATTTTTTGAAATATTTAGCTACTTACCTTTATTCAAATCCTGCTGAGCAAGCCCTAAGCAAGCACTCGCCCTATACAGTAGACCGAAAAAAAGGGTACAAGGAAAAAAAATGTAAAATGCCGGAGAGACACTCAAAAAAACTGTATAGCAAGGTATAGTATTGCGAAATAAACTGCAGTCAAAATCAGTATTTACTTGCAGCTGTACCACCCCACTTTGGGCTATTTTTAGCCGGGTTTTTATTTGCAGGCTGCACAGGCTACTGAACTTTCCGAATGGGCAAAATTGCAATAAACATGAAGGCAAATTGACAATGTTGAATATTTCCCCGAAACCCGGAAAATTTTTTTTTTTTTTTTACTGATGATCGGAGGAGAAAAAAAAAGACAAATGACAGATTTGACAAGCTGGACAAAATTGACGTTGTTTTTCAGGAAAAACTGACAACTGACATGCATTTTTTTTTGTGTTGGTAACATTGATAAAAAACTCAAGGTCATCGAAAACGTCACACACATAACCTCACTTTCGTTGGGGCGAGAAACAACAAAGCGTTTAGGGACTATTCAAGACACATCATCAGAGAGGCGCTAGCTATTACGTCACATGTGTAAATAGTCCTTAAATGCTTTGTTTTTCCCCCACATCAAAAGTGAGGTTATGAGTGTGACGTCAGAATTCAATATGGCGTGGCGGCCAGCAAGTTTGTTTTGAATGTGTTTTCATGCATATTTTATTTATTTTGCTTCGAGTTTTGATTTTGATTATTCAATAAAATATTTGTTTATTAGGTACGTTAACTATAGGTCGGGCAAAAACTGGATATTTTCTGTTTTTTGGTCCATGTGTGGCCGCCACGCCATCTTAAATGTCACGTGGTTTGGATTGCCTAATTGTATTTTGTATCACAATTTTTCTCATTAGAGTCTAATCTTACCACTTTTATTCATTTGAAAATGCCGTTAAAAACTTTTCCAAAATTTAAAGTACTTACCTTCATTAATTTGTTTGCGTTGGTAACATTGTTCATGTATTGTGGTTATTTTCGAGTTGGCAACGCTGAATTTTAATTTTTGAATTGTTTTCTACAGTTGGCAACATTTGGATTGAGTTGAGTAGGATAGGATTTTTTTTAAAAAGTTATATTTTAAATCTTTTGGATTATTATTATATTATAGAATAAACAATATATAATAATAATAATAAACAATATACCTATAACAACTAATTGTTTTTTTATTTATCAGGAAATATAAAATAATTAAAATTAAATTTCTTTACAAATTTTGCCATTTTTTTTTTTTTGAAAGTTCGAAAATAAAACTATTATTTTTTTTGAATAGCAAAAACTAAAACTAAGAGGTGTACTATTAGGTCTGTTTCTGCAGAAATCACAAGTCAGTCAGAGCGAATTTCATTGGTTGAAAACAGTTAGAAACAGTCAAAAAACTAGTTTCAACCAATAAAATTCACTCTGACTGGTTTGTGATTACTGTAGAAACAGACCTATTAACTCGAAAAAAACTTAATAAACTATCGAAATGATTATCATAAATATCTATAAAGAACAGCCGTTAATATCTAAAACAAAATGAAACAACTAATATTTACACGAGTTTAGTCTTTTTAAAATCAGGTTCATCATTCGGAACCTTATGCCTATCAATACGTATAGATTTTAAATAGTTCAACGTAGCTTTACTGCTAGTTTGTTTAGAAAATTCGCTCAAAGTCGGCCTCAAACTTCCACTTGTCGCCACGATATCCGATTTTTCTTCCAAGCTACATTCCGACGGTTTGATTGGCGACGGCCAAGAATTTTCGTAAGACGATTGGTCCTCGTTTGAAGACGCTTCCTCTTGACATTCCTCTTCCGGTTCCATTTCTTCCATTGTGCTTTGATTTTGGTCTACAGTCGAGGCGTTTGCTTCAGCCATCAATTCCGAATCTTCTATGTCTGTGAACATGTCTTCTTGGTCTTCAGGATTTTCGTGATTGTGCTCGTGTTCCGATTCGGGACGTTCAATTACTTTGCCTGGCAAAATAAAATTGGGAATTTATTTATTTGTAAATTTTAGCTGATTTGGCAACACTGGTTATTATTCAACTCTACAATTTCGAGCTTTTTAGCTCTTGTCAGTGCAATATAAGCCAAATAGTCCAGGAGGTGGCGCCAAAAACATGCAAGAGTTTTCGCAAGGCGGATATTTTCAAAATAGGTCGTACTTTAGTGTTAGAATGCTAGTGTACAGTCAGCACTCACAGTTCCGGGACAGCTGGCTCTGGGACGCAGGCAAAGTTGTAATTTTAAGAAGCATCTAAACTGTTTTCTCAAAGCTCAAAATTTATAGAAATTTTGCACATTATCTGTTTGAAGGTCACAGATAACGTATGTAAATCGTCAGACGTCTAGTTCGTTGCAAAAAGGGGGTCAGACGTCCTCAAAGTTTTTATTTTATGGCATTTTCTTCAAATATATTTGTCAAATACCTGCAAAAATATATTTTGACAGGACACCGAAGAAAATGCTATAAAATAAAAACTTTGAGGACGTCTGACCCCCTTTTTGCAACGAACTAGACGTCTGACGATTTACATACGTTATCTGTGACCTTCAAACAGATAATGTGCAAAATTTCTATAAATTTTGAGCTTTGAGAAAACAGTTTAGATGCTTCTTAAAATTACAACTTTGCCCGCGTCCCAGAGCCAGCTGTCCCGGAACTGTGAGTGCTGACTGTACACTAGCATTCTAGCACTAAAGTACGACCTATTTTGAAAATATCAGCCTTGCGAAAACTCTTGCATGTTTTTGACGCCAGCTCCCCAACTAAAAGCACAACAACTCTAATATCAAAAATTTAGAGTCTCAAAAAATGCCAAAGTTGGCACAAAATATCTTCATTTTTTTCTATTACCTTATCGCGAAATTTCAATTGATAATTGTTATAAGTTTAAATTATATAGGTTGGCAACACTGAAGTTCAAGGACAAAAACATCCAAGAAAAAAAAATTCTATCCTTTTCTTTTACATGTCACTAGAAAAAGATGCAAATATACATGTTCTACCAATCGAAAAATCAATTGATTAATGTGAGGTTATACTTGTAACATCCTTTGTGCAGTAGAAAAATAATTCGTATTTTATGGCAAAAAAAAGAATATATTTCTATCCTTTTTTTATATGGTGTTAAAAAAAGATGCAAAAATACACTTGATATGTCAATAATAAGAAGAGGAAAATATTTCTAGCCTTTTCTCTTATTCAATGTTAGAGGAAGATACAAGTACATTTATCAGCCAATTGTAAAGTCTGTTTTTTTTTTTAAAGATAAAAGTCAAACTGACATAATGTTGGAAATACAATGCAAAATTGTCAATGCTTTCAAATTTTTTATGTAGAAAAGGCTTGTGTTGCCAACATAGTTACTAAATTTTGGACTTGGGAAATTAACTTTAAATAAAAAACAAACTTTAAAAGCCATAAATTGGCATTACGAATAACTTAAGATTGGCAACACTGAATATCAAGGTCAAACTATTTTCAACAATGGAACTTATATTAGGTTTGTTTGGACTTAGTTTGGAATCAGTTTTGAATCGATCTGCGCCTGCGCATTTAATCATATCAAACATAATTAAACAAATGCGCATGCGCAGTTCAATTCAGAACTAATTCTGAACCAAGTCCGAACAAACCTAATGATTTTGGATATCTACTAGTAACCAGAAAAAAATATGCCATTGAATAATTTTGAGAATCTTCAATTGGCAACAGTGACTTTTCAGATAAAAGAGAAAATCGAATTAAAAATTTGCAAATCCCCTGAAAAAGTGATAATTTATTCAGAAAATAAGCATTAAATGAGTACCTCATGTATTGTTTTATAATCTAAAAAAGCCAGTAGGCCCAAAGTCACTACAAGAAAGTTTAGGTTGGAAACATTGATTTTCTTTTAGAGATTAGGTTGGCAACACTGAATTTCAAGGTCAAACCACTTCTACTAAAGGTCAATGAACTTCATGTTTTTAAATTGAGCTACTTACTAGAAAAACATATACAGGGTGTCTGGGGATTTTGAAATTCTGTGTTGCTGACCCAAAATTTTCTAACTAATAACTTTGGGCCTACTGGCTGATTTGGATTAGGCAGCAAAATATGACATATTAGAGAATTATGGCACCTTCAAATAGCGACGGTCAAAAAACTTTCTTATTTTGACATGATTGACACCTACGCATGCGTATTTGTGACTTAAAATAGTGGCGGTCAGTAATAAAATAAGGATCATGCTTATTTGTGACATGCGCAAATATAAATCAAATGTCAGTTGTCCAAGAATTTTTCAGATTCTAACCTCACATAATTTGTTTATATTTTTTGTTTGTGTTTTGTGGATGGATAAAATCGAAAAACATCATTTGCACCCCCTAGGATGACAGTTTCTAACATTTCTTACATTAGAATTGAGTAAACAACGCAGCACTGACGCGAAAAAATGATCAAAATGCCAATTGAACATGTAGAGCCATAATTCTTTTTATTCATGAGACTGTCAGTAATTAAATAAGGCCAATCAGTAATAAAATCGATCACTATTTGGAAAGTGCCATAATTCTCTATTGAGGATTTCCAATGTTTGTATTTATTTTAAAATACGTATATGTATTTATTAATTATTTTGGTTCTTGGCCAACTGAAGATTTCCATAATTAATTGATATACAGGGACCAGGGTATCCGGATTCCGGAATAACTTGAAGTACATCGGAATTTTGGAAACCATTGAAGATACAGGATGAACCAAATGAAAAAGTTGCACAATCGTGTGCCTACAATCAAGTGCCTACAAAATAATCTGTAATTATTTGAACTTAGAATAACGACGGATATACAGGGCAGAAAAGAAAAAAGTGCGTTTTATAGAATCCTTCATATTGTCATGACTGGTGTGCATGACAGAAATTTTGGTTCCGTTTATTCCAAAAATCTAAGTCCAATTAATACAACAATAATTTATTCCACGTTACCATACACTCTGACACTACTTACTTCACTAATTGACTCAAACGACTAAACTCTTTACAACTCTCAACACCCTGTATATTATTTATGAAAATCTTCAAAATAATTATTATTAATAAATATATGTATTTTAAAATAAATACAAAAATTAGAAATCCTAAAATATCTCATATTTTGCTGCTGCCAAATCCAAATCGGCCAGTAGGCCCAAAGTCATTACAAAAAACTTCAGGTTGGCAACATTGAATTTATTTCAAATATTAGGTTGGTAACGCTGAATTTCAAGGTCATACCACTTTTAACAAAACCCAAAAAATTTAACATGCTCTTGAATAAATCTAACTACCTAAGTAACCAGAATAAAAAAAAATCATAGTTAATTTTGGAAATCTTCAGTTGGCAACACTGATTATCAAGTAGAAGGGACCCAAAAATCCCATAAAATAATGATTTCTCATATTAGCTTTCTTCCAACCAAACAGGAAACCGTAATATTACCGTCAGGATTCTGCGCAAAACCTAAAATTTTTGTGTAGAAACCGAAATTCGTATACAGAGTGGTTCCGAAACCGTTCTGGAACGGTTCTTTGACTGGTTGGAACAAACCTATTTTCGTCCCTAACCGAAGACAGTCACCGTGCGTTCGGTATTTTGATCTAAGTTCTCCGAGCTTGAATTTACCGTTCGTTTATTCAAAAAGTGTACTCGGTGCAGGATCATTCGCGTTCGTTTATTAAAATTTCGGGCATTTTGATACAGCGTTCAAGTGCTCTGTTAGCTCGCTGGTCACGTGATTACGGCTCCGCTCAGCACGCTCTGCTCTTTGAGCAAAATACCGAATGCAAGGTCAGTAGTAGGCCCAAAGTCATCACAAAAAAGCTCAGGTTGGCAACATTGAGTTTTTTTCGAAGATTGGGTTGGCATCAATGAATTTCAAGGTCAAGCAAGCTGCATCTTTCAATTTATAGTGAGAACAATTTCAAAGCAACTAACCAACTTTTAAATGTCTTCTCTTTGAAACAGTACTTTTGATAAGCAAAATAATAATCAATTATTAATTAGTAGAAACACCAAGTTATATTCCTATCGTTTTCATTTTTAAACCATTGGAAAAGGATGGAAATACTCTTGGTGCGCACAATCCGCCCTTGCATGCAAATTAATGAGGTCATCGATCTGCAGATTTAATGAGCGCCCAGTGTAGTTCTGTCCTTTTTGATTTTATACTATTAAAGCAGGACAGAGATCACAATCATCTCAATTGAAAATTTATAGAAATCGATTGGCAGACGTGGTTGAGACCTAGTGTATTGCTGGCCTTATCTGTTTCATATTAGTAAAGAAAGACAACAATATTCTCAGGACCAATGAACTATAGCTAAAAACTGGAATGCGCACACATTGCCATATCTGCCAAAAAAATGTAGCCATGAAAGACAGATGCCACAAAGGGGAATGTTGTTTTTTTCTGTTGCTCGCTGTCATGTGACGTTTTCGAAAGTTTTGTCATATTTCCCTTCACAGGTTTCATCAATTGGAATACGTGTTGGCAGCAATTTTCGCCATTAAACATAATGAGTGCGACAAAAACAGGTATCCCCTCCGCAGCAGCCGCACTAGGCTTCACGTTCGTCCTTATATGTTAGCATTCCAGTTTTTGGTTATAGTTCATTGCTCAGGACTTACCCACTATACTCTGTCTCAAAAACAAAATTGAATATGTTGGTTCTTGGTACTTTATGGTAATTAAATTTTTGAATGGTGAATTTTATATTAATAGACTTATCTATTTTTACCTGGTATGCGCGCGCAACACGAGGGAATGCCTTTTTAATGGCTAACTAGTGGTGTGAGGTGTTCGTTTTGCACGCTGGGCATCTCCTTGTCCTTGTTCATTATCTGTGGTCTGACAAGGATAAAAGTACATTTGATATTCAACTTGACATAGCTTGACAAGTGACATTCTAATGTTGTTTGAAAGTTTCATTGACAAATACGTTGCACAAGACGCAGTCTTTCTCCTTCCCTTTTTACTCCGTGCAAATAACAAGGACGGATTGCTATATGTAAGTCTAACATAATTTACAACGTTTTGCCTCGTCTTGCGCAACGAGTGTTCTGTGTCTTTTTTTATCTAATGAAGTTTTCGTATTATTACCTCTTTGTCTGGTAAAATAGATAGGTCTATTATTATTGGCAGGCATTCAATATAATTTAGTAATTTTCTAGTTATAAATGATTCATGGTTGCCAATCCACTAATTACTAGTACCAATCTTTCCCCCAAAATTTTTACTTCAACTTAGACAGAGTATAGTTCAATCTTAAGAGGGCATTATTAGGTCTTTTCGGGTTTGAAAAAAGGACGGTTCTAGAACGGTTCAAAACAATCGCACAGTTTATCAATCAACAAAATGACCACTGCTCGGCTATCACAAATTTCAGTAATAAACTGTGCGATTGTTGCCCCCTGCATAAAATTTATCTGATAAGCCAATTTTTAGAATAATTTTGAAATCAAATATACTGCACATCAATAAAGGGAGGATGAAAACTTTACAGAATTTAATAAAGAAATTCATTCTGAACACTCCTGTTTCTTAAGTCTTGAAAAAACTTATTGTATACAGGGTGTAGAAGAAAAGTATGTTATTTTAACTGAAGTTTGTAGGTCCCATAGAAACGTCTACAAATTTTTGTCCAGTGCCCCTACTCTTGAGTTCCAGGATAGGCTCGTACAGCATATTTTTTTTATTACATATTCTAAAAGAGCGTTGGTCGTGGTGGTGCTGGTACTCACCTGGTACACCCGTCACTACGACATTACGGGCATTGTTTTGACAAGTTTTAGTTTGGCATTTTTTCTATCTGGTAGAACTGGATGTTTTTCTTTTAAAGTATATTTGATTAATTCTCTGAATTTCAATATTTTATGAGCACAAGTATGGAAGTAGCACGCAAAAAGTAAAATTATAGATAGTTCCACAAACTCGGAAACTGTGTCCTAGTTGACATTGCGTTATGCAAAACCGTGTGTGACGGCCTTTAGTCTGTCTCATCTCGAGGGATAACGTCATACCATCTCTCAGCGATGAATTTCTGAGGCATAATGTTTAAGTATTCAAAAACGCATAACTTTTTTAATATTTATCCAATTGAGCTGAAATTTTGTTTGTGTGCAATATGTGAGTAATACTCCATAAATATATGAAAAAACGCGGTTAATGAAACTACACTTAACGAGCCTATTTTGTTGTCTTGTTGTTGGTTCTTTTTATATTAGCAGTTAACAAATATATGTTAATTTTGAATAATATGAATGATTCAGAATGATGATGTTGACAAAGATGTTCTGCCTCTCAAAGTGACCCTTTACGTTTTGTGCTTTACATTATCGGAGTACAAATTTGTACAACTTTTTTATTTGCTCTGGCAGACTATTCAAACTTGTTGCTCACTCCGATCACAGGGATTGAAACCAAGCACTTGCAAATGTAGAGGTGAATTTTCCAGAATACATAATATATGCTTGTGGATGAAAAGTCCAGCAGCATTTCTTTCTGGTGTCTGCTAATTTTTTTTTTTGCTCATTTATCATTAAAAATTAAAATTTAATGGAGATAACAATAAGATCCAAAACAAGCTTATTAAAAGCAATTATCAGTTGAAGCATGGTGAAGACTGTCATGAACATAATACTCGAACAAAGGACTTTGTTAGAAACAGCTATGCCAGAACAAAAAAGCGCCAAGATTCTCCACTTTATCGAAGCATACAAGCAACAAATGTGATACCAAAGACTATTATAGATTTAAAACTTCCAAAAATGTGCCATAACCTTAAGAATTATCTAAGACAGACTTAAACAGATATATCTATTTTATAAGAATTTTACTTATGTCAAAATGATTTAATGCAATAATGTTATTTTTTTCCTTTTTATCATGTAGAATTTATTGTTAGTTATTTTGTCTGTAAAAGTTACTATCCTAGGCCTTGGTGCCAGTATTCTTTGTATACTGATTTGAGGTCAGAAATAAATGATTATAAAAAAAAAATCCTTTTGAAAAAACACAACATAAAGTACAATCACATGGAACACTAATTGAGAGCAGAGATATTAGCTTCGTTCGCGGTAAGGGTTCAGAACCAATTCTGAACGCTAAGGCAGGAATCACACAAAATATTTTTCTCTGTTAGACTGTCACTCATTGCCAATTTCTATTGTGATTGGTGCCTTAACGTTTAGAGCTGGTTCTGAACCCTTACCGCGAACGAAGCTATTGAAAGTTTGAAAGACAGAAGATGACGGTTTTGATATAGGTATACCTACCTACATTGAGATTTCCAAGATGTGATTGGACAGAATTGGGACTTGACACTTGGCAACTATGGACATATTTTCACTCCCACCCAGATAGTCCCTCCTTTCAAGAATATGTATTTTTAAAACCAAGAGAAAAATATGAGAGTAGAAAAATATAAGAGCTGTTCAGAGAGCAATTTTTCTATTGGTTTCAAAAATAGGGGCACAGAAAAATTTTGCTGGTGTTTTTGTGTTAATAAATACATGAGAACAGTAATTTCGTTTTAACTAGTGGCGCAGCATTAATGGCGCATAACAAGGGATATCAAAAATTTTATAAACTTAGGTATAATTTTATATTAAGCAACAAAAAATTCACTTCAAGCACTCAAAACTCACCATTTAAAGTTGGCAACGCAATTTCAGGCAAGATTTTCGTATCAGTCCCATTCTCAACCATCAAATCCTTGATCAAGTTGCAAATATCCTCCCTTTTTTTTGTAACAACAATTTCCTCAAACCAATCCTTGATTCCTTTGATTGGTGTGTTGTAATCTGTGATGGGGTCCTGAAAAAATTAAATCCAAAAATATTAGAATTATTTCAAATAAGAAAACAACAAATTTGCCTTACTTTGAAAAATTGTTCTACATATTGTAGCACGTACAAGCCGCAATCAGTGAAGTTAGTTTGCTGGGGAACTTTGCAACAAGAACCCTTGATGACATCCTTATTGTAAACTCGCTCAGTTTCCATTTTAGTTTTGTACTCGCACGTTAAGTAGTCTCTCAAGGTAGCTATTACTCTGTTTCTACTAGGACCAGCCAAGGAATCAAAAATTAAAATACAAGGCCTACAAAAAAAAAAAAAATTAGGGCTTGTTTTGGGCATGTCTTCAACAATAACTTACTGTTTGATGGGTACTTTGGGTTGAGCTTTACTTTTGCCTGGTAAAGGCAAAGGGGCCGCGGGTGCTGCAGCGGCTGCAGCAATAGCAATGGCTGCTATCGACTCTTCGGAATCATCAGATTCTACCAGTTCTGAGTCTTCACTTTCAGCTTCATCTTTGTCACTCAGTGGCTCATCGCAAATGATGGGAATTTCTTTTTTGACTTCTTAAAAGAGAAAAAGAAGCATTTCAATTTTGATTAATTTTTCAATTTAAACTTGCTTCCAAAATTTTCAGTTGAAAAAAAAACAGCACAAAATTGGGTTGAGCCTTGTATGTTTTATAAAAGCTAAACATGTTTTCATGATTTCTGAGTGACAGAGTGAAAAGGGACAAACAAAATGCTATGGAAATACACAGTTGCAATGAAATAGAGCATCATAGAAATATTAGTTCACATATTTGTTGCTTTTCAATTCACGCTGATTGCACAATATAGGGTCTGTTCTCATAGAAATCCCAGAAATCACAAACCAGTCAGGAACAAATTTCATGATTTGCATCAATCAAAAACGCCCTGACTGGTTTGTGATTCCTGCAAGAACAGACCTCTAGAAATTAAAAAAAAAAAAGTTAATTCATTGCTGATGAACTTAATTGTTTCAGATTGAAAGTGATTAAATATTAAGTAGGTATTTTACAAAAATCAACTTACCTTCTACGTTTTTTTGACTTTTATTGCAAACTATCCAAGAAACAGAAAAAGCATAAAATATTGGAAATTATTTGAAAAAAATCACTTACCTTTTTTCTTTTTGGTGACTTTTGCTTTCCGTAATGGGGCAACGTAAGGTACCCCTTCGAAAGTTTCAGGTCCCTTAAGACCAGGAAAGCAAATAATGGCCAAAAACCAATGTGCGCTCTCATTAATGGGCAAAATAATGAAATCCTTTTCAAATATGTTGATTTTCTTAGTCCAATTTTTAACTCTAGCGTGACGTTTTTCTGCCGCAGTCAGGGTTTCAGTTTCATTAGGATTAGATTTTCTAATTAATTATGAATTGTTAGAAAAAAGCTTCAAAGAAATAAGTTGGTACTTACTTGGCAACCTTCATAGCTTTCGAAGTGAGTCTTTTATAGAAAAACGTGGAAAAAACATGTACTTTTCTTTGTTGCTCTTGAGGCAAATGTTCCCACAAATAGGTCAAGTAAAAATCTATAATTTTATCGTTTAAAAATTGATCTGCAGCCAAACAAACATAGTCCTCAGTATTGATGCTCAATCTGTTTGGGCCTTCTTTGGGATAAATCAAAAGATGCTTCATTTCAGCTTGGGATCTGAAAGAAAGGGACACTCTGGATAAATAGCTATCGATGGAAATAATAGAAAAACCACTCACGTTTTACCATTTTTATGCTCGTAAGGCACGTACATTTTAACGGATTTCATTACAAATTTTTAAGAAAATAAAACAGAAATCAACTTTCACATGCCATGATTTTTTTTTGATAGATCAATATAACCTCAATAAATTTGCAGCGTTGCCAACTGTACGACCATTAAAAATAGGCGCTTTCGTTTGTGTTGTTCCAGCTGCACTGATTAATCAACTAAAAAAATAGCGCTTTCAAATCACAAAAGGGGTTTTCGAAAACTAACCCATGGTCAAATAATTAGGTCTGTTTCTGCAGAAATCACAAACCAGTCACAGTGAATTCCATTGGTTGAAACTAGTTTTCTGACTGTTTTCAACCAATGAAATTCGCTCTGACTGGTTTGTGATTTCTGCAAAACAGACCTAAAATAAACTAGTATTTAGTAGAGTTCGAGATTGTACTCTTCCTTACTGCACTGGTTCAGGTATTTTTGATCAGAGTAAACAGACTAGATTTATTCGTGTTCGGGTGCTTTAAAAAACGTTGAAAAAGTGTACTTCAAAAGTTGCAGGGTTGCGTTTAGAAATAGCACTCTGGGTGTGAGAGTGACCCTAGAGTAACTCTACACCGTTCATAAATTACCAGGTGCTTACTCGGAGCGTTACGCTGGAATCGTTCAGAAATCGAGAATTGACGCGCCCAGAGTACGCTCAAATTACCCCGTTTGCACCGACCATTTTAAGCGAGGCTTAACGATAAGGATACCTTAAAATGACATTTTTACATGTAAAAATGTCAATTTAAGGAACACTTATGGTTAAGCTTCCCTTAAAATTGTCGGTGCAAACGGCCAAACCTTAAAAGGGACTGGGTTGAAAAATGCCCCGCGGTTTTTACCGAGTTTGACGTTGACATTTACCGTAACGCCCGAAACAACTACTCTACCCTCACACTCCAGTTCTAAACGCATTCCAGGGTTTGAGCACCTAATTAAAGGCGTTTTCTCGGGGGGTAAATGGTTCGAACTGTGCGAACTACGGTTCAAACCAATTTATAGATGACGTCAAAATGGAAGGTTTGAATGACAGTCTTATGTCAACGAAGAACAAGCCATGAGTCCACTTCGAACTTTTTTGAACCAGGTGTGACGTCACTGGTTCAACGCAAGAATATACTGGCTGGGATCACGACTAGAATTCCACTTTCATGACGTCACCCGCGACCTTTTTATCGCCAACAGTACAGGCGATGATAATGGTTGCTAGGCAATTTGATGTCATGAAATTCTACTTGTCGTGAGAAAACAGCTTATAATAGGTCTGTTCGAACCCGTCGAAAAACCGTCCCAGAACGGTTTTGGAACCACTCTGTATACGAATTTCGGTTTCTAGGCAAAAATTTTAGGTTTTGTGCAGAATCCTGACGGTATTACGGTTTCCTGCTGGGTTGGAACAAAGCTAATGTTTTCTAAAAAAACACTCATTTTTGCAAATAAAACGATTTGAAAATGGAATATTTGAACTGCTACAAAAAAAAAAACCGCGGGCTAGGACTGTAATGTCAGAATCGCAAAAATGCAAAGATGCCAAATTTCTCATCAGTAAATCATTTTTAAACATGAAATTTGGGACATCTTTTAATTCAATTTGTTTGTCAGACGTGAATTTATATAGCTATCTTTGTCTAGCTCATGTTTATTATCGAAGAAGGCGTTCACATTACGTTGAGCTAGTTTCTCTGTATCCTTGTCTTTTATTACCAATTAGATGTTCGTTAAATACAGGGTGTTTCCTAAGTACGGTCCGTAACTTCAAGATGTGATTTTAGGATGTGTACAGGGTGATCTATTATAAACGTCACCCCCTGCCAGCTTTTTCATTTTACGTTTTTGACAGAAGTGTCAAATACAAAAGTTTCAAGAAATTGTCAAAAGTTTTTAACTAAAACCGAATTTTCGCGACGAATGTAGATCATCCAAGGACGAACTATAGTTCGTCCGTGAGACTTCATGACTTTGAACGCTGGCTAGAAGCTGCGTCCATGCTTCCGTCGAACTACGTTCAAAATGACGTCATGAGTTTCTCGCCAAAGCGTTTGTGTTCATGAAATCATGGAAGTAGTTCTTCGCGAAAATTCGGTTTAAGTCAGTTTTAGACATACAGGGTGCGTCAAAAAAGTGCAGCAATGTGAAGTTATTTTTTTTTAAATGGACACCCTGTATATTGTGTGCTTATTTGTTAGTACCCTTCAACCTGATCTCAACGATATATGGTTTGATATGTTTATCTCTCGGTTTATCTCCAATAGTTATAGGGAAAAACGCGAAAATCCCTTCTTAGGTCTCTCATGTTATTTTTTTAAAAATAATAATAATAATAATAACTTAGACATCTGGATTTATTATAATATTTCACCTTGTATATTAATGCACAAAATTTGAACAATAAACTGGTTATGGAAAAAATTCGTTAAAGCTTAAATGGTATAATTTTTCTTTTTTCAATATGAAACCTTGAAAGGGGTTCTCATTTTTTTCCTATAATTATTGAAGCTAGACATATCAAATCATATATTATAGTAAGGTGGGGCAAGTGCATTTCTGGGGTAATTGCAATCATTCATTATCTTGTCTCCAAAACCCACTATAGATTATCGATAGCATTGCCATCTCTTCAGTTCTGTTAAATTAAAGACCTGTCACAAATGCGCGTCATAATAGACACAACTTCAGAAATTGCCAGCACGATATTTGTCTTAACATCAAAACCGGTTGCATTTTCGCTCAACAAGTGTTTCCTAAAATGTGATACACAGAAAATAAAATAAAGTTGCAAAATTGCTAAAAATTGTTTTTAATGATATAATCGATTATTGTATTAGGCCTTTTGTTTATTTATATGATTGCACTTACCCTATTAAAAGTGTACCTGGGGTAAATGCAATCATTATGTAGCGGTAAAATGCAATCAACATATGATTGCACTTTCCCGATTAGAGTTTTAATGTGGGAATTAAGAAAAATTCACTTTTTTTTTTAGATGGTTAGAAATTATGTCAGAAAAACTAGAAGAGGAGTAGGATATAACAAAGCAGATCTAGAATATGCTGTTCGAGATGTGAAATCTGGAAAAACACCTCTTTTTAATTTTTTTGATTAGTAGAGTTTGAGTGGTTTCTTATTTCAATACAGTCATGTATTTTAACAATCTCTTCATTTTCTTCTAACAAAAATGATAACATTCAGTGGTATTAGCACAGTTATTTTACTTATTCTAAAAGAATATTTTATCTGATTGCACTTTCCCGATGGAATCGGGAAAGTGCAATCACATGCAAGCAGAAAAATATACATCATCCATTCCATTTATCGTACAAATTTGATGATTTCGATGAAATGGCTGTAAATGGAACTATTTGGGTGCCTTATGTTCAAGAATAGAAAGCTCAATTCGCATAAATAAAATTTTGATATTACATTGAACTGACACTATTGAAATTTCTGGTCGCACTTACCCCACCTTACCTTATCGTTGAAATCAGGTTAAAAGGGACTAACAAATGAGCGCACAATATACAGGGTGTTCCGTTTAAAAAAATATAACTTCACACTGCTGCACTTTTTTGACGCACCCTGTATGCCTAAAGCTGACTTGTTTCGACAATTTCTTAAAACTTTTGCATTTGACACTTTTGTCAAAAATGTCAGGTGAAAAAGTTAGAAGGGGGTGTCATTTATAATAAATCACCCTGTACTATCCTAATAGAAGAATGTCAAAATTAATACATCAACTTGGAGACAGACTTTACTAAGTTAAAGAGAGAGATGGTAGACAAAAACAATTATATTATCAGACTTCAAAGAAGGTCTAGGAGATTTGAGGAGATGACCTTATGAAAGAGATGAAGAGATGCAGAAGAAAATTCAGCACCAAATAAGCACAATAGAAAAACTAAGTAAGGAAATTAAGAAATTGAATGAAGAAATTATAGAATGAGGAAAGTGAGAAATTGGCAAAGGGTATCACGAAGCTGGACCATGATTTGGCTGAAAGTAGGACAACAAATATAAAGTTGGAACTGGAAAGTAGGAGAATAAATACAGAGACTCGAGAGTTGACGAGCAAACTAAAGGTAAGCAAAATACAATGAACTAAACAAACACACTGGAACGGTGGCTGCATAATGTTTCTACGCAAGGGTTTGTGCCAGGAAGGACAACAAACAAGTGGGATTTGCATCTCTCTCTGCACTATGGCGGCTATTGAGAACAGCTGTTTGAAGTGTTTGGATCATTGAGATCAGGAAGATGAAGAAGCTCTTCTTTCTTTTACATTAATCGCAATGAGTGCGAGCGAGACAACAATCCCTCTGTATTGCTGGGTTGCATATATCAAAATTTGGCACACTAGCATAAAGCAGCACGCCCGTTCCAGAGTGTTTGTTTAGTTCAATGGCAAAATACTATGCTTCGGGCTAAAAAATAATTTGCAGGCTGAAAAGGATATCACACAAGCACTAAAGAGTGATATTGTGGCATTAAAAAAAAAACTCGAAGAAAAATTGAACTCCAGCCTACTTACAGAACTCTCGGACCTTGAAACCATGGAATTAAAAGCAGAAAATGATAAACTAATGAAAAAACCAAATTGAGAACGGGCTCTATGCTAATGACACTAAAAAACTTAGCAATGAATTGTTCCAAATCAAAGAGCAGAATCATAAAAGAAAAACAGTACCTAATAATAATAACAATATTAGAGTGTCGATTCAAGTAAATAACAAACAGCAACTAAACCAGAATCAAGAAGAACAGGAAATTAAACAGCATAATGAACAAAAACAACAGGAACAGATAAATAATAAGCATACTGTTCTGATTATTGGTGATAGCTCCATAGCTGACTTCAATAAAATTCTTGACAGATACAAAGATCTAAACAAATTTAGGATTATCTCGATTG